TAAAACATCACCTACAAAGAAAGAAAATGTGAAATAAAACATCACCTACAAAGAAAGAAAATGTGAAATAAAACATCACCTACAAAGAAAGAAAATGTGAAATAAAACATCACCTCCAAAGAAAGAAAATGTGAAATAAAATATCGAGAAATCAAAGAAAGAAAAACAAAAATCACAATACATGTTGAGAGTACTGTTACAGTTGTTACATGTTGATTACTGGCATGCTCTTTCAGCTTTTAGCTTTAAGTAGATAACGTGTACTGTTTGCTGTCGTTTTCTCTAAAATCATTTTCAAGGTGTATTTGTGAAGTCAACATCCAGAGCAAACCTGAACAGTTGTACAGGTAATCAAATTATTGTACACTGATTCATTTTAAAATTTCCATGCTGTTGCTGTATTTCTATTGGATTCATTATTTTGAAAGTTTTAAAACATATGGAGATAAGTAAGGACAAACAAGCTGAAATGGGTCAAGAAATTGAAAATGAAGTACTAGCAGTAAAATTTGATTTTCCCCTAACTTGGGTAATTTTGTCAAAAAGAATAAAAAGGAAGCAAACTAAAATAAAAAACGAGAAATGAAAATACTCAAAAGAGCAACCTAAAATTAGAGTAACACTAATTTTCTAGCTTCACAATGATTTGAAATTAAATATAAAACTTAGTTCTACATCTTAGGTACACAATCTATAACTACTAAAATACTAGGGTGAAAAACAAATTTTTATGTTGCAGGCTACGAAGAAATAAAAAGGTGCAACCTTACTACATTTAAATATTATCAGAAGAAAGATAGGATCTGTGGGTTTGGGAAAGGGGAGTTGTGGTGGTGGTGGTAAACAAAGGAAAGATATTCTACAAATGCTACATTTTAACAATTGCTACTTTTCCACAAATTCATGAAATTTCCTAAACTTACTTTCCCCAGGGGAACACAAAACTCTCTCTGGTCTTGGCGTCTGCATCTCTGACTAGAACACACTGCAGCTTCCAAGCAGAGTCAGGACCAGAACCGTCATGGCCGATCCATATCTTCTGAAGTGCTCCAAGATCAATCGCTTCAATGTGGAAGTAGTTTGTCTGAGAATCAAAAAGGATATGGGAATATATAGAGCACACACTGTTTCCCATGGGGGAGGCTAGAGAAGCCAATTTCAAAAAATAAATTGTCAGGCAGCGTGGTGAAATCAGGCACTCGTCCAAATAATGAAGGTGAAGAAACTGACATTTTTCAGAAGGTTTAGGAATTTTGTATCAAATTTGTATTTTTTAGCTCAACACCCTCCATGTCAATTAAAGAACACATTATTTCTATGTGGATTGTACTGAAAAACGTAAATTAAAGGCATAAAAAGTGTAAATTTTCTGTTTCCAGGGACTCTCAAGCTAAGGAAATAACTAGACTTTAGAGGCCATTTTCTCACTAATTTTTCATCTGAGACAAGGCGACCCCCACCTATTTCAATCACAAATATCTCCATTTGTATTCAAGATAAAAGGATATTTTTTTCTTCAAACGCAAGACAAAAGAAAAAGCTTTAAGGTAATATCAATAACCCCACATGCCCAAAAACTGACGAGCGCCTGATTCCACTGCGTCATGCCATAATTCTTCTTTGATCTCAGGAATTTCTGTCAAAGCATCCTACTTCATCCTACTTTGAAAGAAAGAGTATTTTACAAAGAAAGTCTTAACCCTCAGCTTATGCTTAAGATTCCCAAGCAAAACAACTCAGACATGATAAAAATTTAACCTGAGGTATAAGTTTAAAACAAACACTATTATCATTTTTAACAATAGATGATCTACGGTAAGCTGGTCTTATCAGTTTATTTCACAGTATCGTTTGTCTTTAACTCTTTAACCATGCAATTCAAAATCACGTTTCCGCGTAATTCTCTCGTGTTTCTGGAAATGCGACCTGACATATTACGGTTTTAAAACCACTTGTTTTGAGTCAAACTGATCAATAAAACTTTACAAAGACGTAGAATTCATTTATCTTTGACTTCCGGGTCAAACTAAAGGCTTGTTAGCTCGTACTTTTTTATATTCCGCCTGTATCATAATACAATAATAACTTCCCATCGGACGGTGGTACCGTCCAGCCATGGTTACAGACCTTGACTACCGGACGCTCCATCCAGGCATTGTTAAAGCAATATATATTTCATTTATTATTCCTTTTCTAGACTGCAAACTCAGAGTATTACTCATAGAAAATATGGTATGCTAACCTTTCCAATGGCGAACTTTTCATTCTCATCAAGATTATTTTTCAGACACCGTTTTCCAGAATCTCCCTGACTGCCGATGATGTTGATGTACACAATGGCCTGGGTTCCAGCAGAGTCCTGAGCTTCTGTCACAGTCTTCACCACATATTTTACACCTGGGATGAGGAAATTGCAAGTTATTAATAAAAACTATTTTCCAGTTGGGTGCAATTTGCGCCCACAGACTTTGTGTTGAAAGACACTGATCGAATCACTTAGCAACTAAGAGACTGTTTTTTTCCATTACATGACAGCAACAAAAATTCCCAGAAACTATCTCCCCCCCCCCCCCCCCATAATACAGGATTTGTTTCACAAAAGCAAACTTGTTAAGAATCAGCTGCCACAACATTGCCTTAAATTCTTAAGTTCTTGGGGCCAAAAATATCAATCTGTTAAATGTTTAAAGCGAGAACATTTTTCTTTTGCCAAAAATGTTGATGCATGCTAATGCCCCAAATAACAATATTTCCCAAATAATAATAATATATTGCATTTGTATAGCACTCAACCCTGATTTAAGTACACAGGCTCTGAGCGTTTTGCAATACAACAGTAACATATAATCAGTACATTAAATTGTGTTTTGATCCAAAAATATTTCTCTCATTGAACCTTTCAGCACCATAAATAGGTCAGCAGGTCAGCACAGCAGAACTTAAATGGCAGCCAGCTGATGGCTTCACAGATAATACTTTTTTCAGTGTTTTTCAGAGGTTCAGGGGGTGTGGCAAAGAAAATGTTTTTGCTTTTGATCTAAGCAATGTATTTCAATGAAATTTCACAAACAAAGACCTAGGACGTCAGCATCTAAATTTAGAGTGGAACATTTTTATTCCTAAGCCAGCACAAAAAACGGGTGTGTCAGGCCAGTAAAAGCCGGTATAATGGCTCCACAGTGGGAAAGCCGGTAAAAGCCGGTATGGCAACATGGCAGGAAGGCCGGTTTAGGCCAGTATGGCCCAAAAAGGGTTAAGTAGCACTCACTTTTCAGAGGAGTCCTGTCTGGGTACTCAGCTGCTACCTCACACACAATGTCACCTTCCCTGTCAGCAAAGCTGAGCCATCGGTTAACAACAAAAGAGAGTTTCTCTCCATTGAACAGGTTCTCCATCACAAGCTGAGAAAGAACGGTGGTATAAGTATAAGCATAACGGTGAATTCAATCTCAGTAAAGTAAAGTCGTTCCCGCATCCGATTCGGACATTGGGGATTGCCTTGTTAGTGAGACAATTTCCTGGGCCTTCGGCATATTGAGGTAGGGTGGACAGTTCCTTTCCTCGTCGCCTTTACTTCCCCAACTCGAAGAAAGGTAGTCTACTGCTGGGTGGGCAGGAGGAGGCGAAAAAAATCTGTGTCCGAACCGAGGCTCGATCCCGGACTTTCCGCTTCATAGATGAGTGCACTTACCGCTCCGCCACCGCACCCTCTCAATATCAGTATATATAAATAAATTAACTCTCTGACAACACTGATTTAGTCTAAGTTGTAGGTGCAGTTCCGTATCATCGATGACTTTGAGATGAATGTATGTACTATCTCTAGAAATTTCTGAACCCTAAACAAAAAAAAAAGGAGATAGCGCTTAAAGTGAGAAGGAAAAGGTGGAAGAAAATCTGTCATTGCAGAAAAGGAAAGACTAACATGTATTCCAAATTTGAGAAATTCTAAATGATCTTTGAGAAATAGTATCAATAAGATATTTGCTTAAAGGATATGAAGCTTGTGAATTTGACTGAACTGACAGAAGCCTAATAAATACTATTACATTTATATAACATATATGAAAGGGTTCGGAAATATGTGCAAATCCTTCGGTGAGACTCTCATATAATGCCACTGTATTGGTGAGAAAACATTGCAAAAAAGTAATTGTAGCCAAGTCTTTGGTTCAGCAAGTTAGCAGGAAATTCATATCTCAGGTCAAAATTTGGGCCACATCGACTGTCATATAAACCTAAGGACGTAACATGACAATAAGTTTGTTTGTTTTAGTAAGAGTTTTACGGCACTTGCAACACGTACAATAAGGTCATATAAGTGCCCAAGATTAGAGGGTTTACAAGAGAGTAACATACACAAAAAAGAAGGAGGGGAGATAGAGATGATAGATCTTTTATAGTATAGGAAAGAAAGAGCAAACCACACCAGAGTACCCGCCAACCACCCACGTAATAATAAGTGATGGCAACATAAAGACAATACATTTGTCATATTCAACAGTCATTTATAATATATATTTATCCCACATTTTTTACTGAGGGTCACTGAAAAATTACATTTCCTATAAATGTTAGAAATTATGAATCAATCCCAAGAAAAGAAAAAGAAAAAAGACTTTTCTCTAGGCCCTATTTGAAAGTGCCTTTCAGCCAAAAGTGGTCAATATGATACCTGATCCACTCGCCACCCTGCCGCTTGTCCCGAGTCATCATGTTCCAGGCGAACTTTCTGTATCTGTCCAACATCCTCCGGTTCCAGCCACACCTTTCCATTAAAGTAAAAAAAATAAAAAGTGTTGGATATTTTTTTTTGCGTATTGTGCTTGCGTGAACACAGTTTACAGGTTAATAACATTCTAAACTAGGCCACTTGAATGAAATAAGGAGTGAAAGTGTAACATTTATGGCTAAAAAATTACAGCTTTTTTCTTTATTAAAAAATCTTGTTCTCAGATAAATTTTAAGAAAAATTTTAAGCAAGTGCAAAACACAAGAAGTTTTTCTTTTGGAAGGGACACATTGCAGTATTTTGATAAGATTACATTTAAAAAATCACTACCTGAGAGGTGCTGTCAATGATTGGAGTATAGTTATCATTCAATGAAATCATTAATGAGAAAAATATTAAAGCAAACATTCTAAAAGGTTATAAGCAGAGCCAGCCAATAATTTTCCATCTAAGATGAACAAATTCTCACATCAAACTGGTCTGTTTGTCCTTCAGAGAAAAAGTCTTGACCCGCTGCGCCAAGCACGAGTGGCCCAGAACTGCCTTTGTCCCCCAAAACCGTCAAGGTGACCTTGGCATCTGTCCCACTGCCGGGCTCAGAACTTGTCATCACGTAGACTCGCCAGTCCCCAGGCTTTGGCTTCTCTTCCTCTGGCTCCTCTGGGGCCTCCACGACCTCCTCCGCCTGGACCCTGGGTGTGTCTTGGACGGACGTCAGCGGAAGCTCAACGGTCAGCTGACTCGGCGCTTCTCCGGAGAGCCACCTGCAACATTGTGATTAGAAAACATCATAAAGTAAAGTAAAAGCAAGAAAAGGCAAGCTAAGATAAAACCACAAGAGTGAGTAACTAACCCTATCCGTACGCCCTGGGGTCATTTTGTACCCCCAGGGTTGTATTCTTCACATTTTATAATACTTTTAGGTCGAAGATCTCTTTGAAACTTTCAGTATTTCTCAAAAATCATTTTGACAGACTGCTATGCAAAGCATACAGATCGGATTAACGAATAAATTTCCTCTTTGTAAGTGGTGGCACAAAGTTCATTCGTATGGATACGATAGAAAAACACGACGTACGGATAGGGTTAATGTGAAACAAGAAGAGTTAAGCTTGGGAGAAAGAGACAAGACAAGTCAAGATAAAAACAAACAAATCACAAGACATGATGAGATAAAAAAGGTAAAGACAAATAAAGAAAAGATAGTTCAAGATAGGATAAAATAAATCAAGATAGAAAAAGCAAAACTTTATCCATAAAAAATAAAAGTTTCATTGATCCATTGAAAGTAAATTTGCAGGACCAGAAAGGGTAGAGTTCAGTGCTTCATCTTTAAATACTTTTACTAAGCAAATGCTGAAAAAGCAATCTTGAACTTTTGCATACCTTGTCACACAACTCAATTTGTTGAACACATTTTTCACAAACAGTAGACCTAAGTTAAAATTTTATAATGGAACTATCTCGAATAAGGTTTCATATTATCATAACATTCAAGAAAGACATTCATTTAAAGGTTGTGCTCTAACAATGAAAGAAAATATTTTAAAAATATATTTCAGGTTCAAAACTTGAAACTGTCCTAACATACCTGTCACATTCAAAGACAAAAACTTGAGAGGATTCTTCTGATTCCTTCACTTCCACTTTGTCCAAATACCATGTCGGGTTCTGTCCATATCCTTCCAAGTGTATTTTAACTGTGTTCAGTTTTCCCAGATCAACTGCTTCAATCCTAAATAAGTCATGCTGGGGAAAAAGAATAAAAATAGATACTTCATCTTCATTGAATTGTAGCAAATATACTAAATGCAAGACGTTTTTTCGATAGTGATCTTAGAAATAAAAAATAAAAAAATCAAATAAATGTAGTGTTTCTTATAATAACTTAACTCTTTTTCTTTGAGGGGGGTAAACCCACTACCCAGGGGCGCTTTTTTGGTGCTAAATCTAAAAATGACAAAAACGTCATTAAATTGAAACTAGCAAACTTATTTTGATAGTTCTTCTTCTAAAGAATGAACTTCCAGTATAAGAGACCCGTTTTCGCCAATTGCCGAAAAGTAATTTGATGTCAAAGTCGTCGTAAAGGAATGTCCCCCAGCTCACCGGCATAGGAGTTCAGACCGTGAGCCGCTGAGAGCGGCTTGTCGGAGATAAAGAGTTAAGGGTTAAGGAAGTTAATCTAAAAAGCTCTAGTAAACTCACAGATCCTGTTTCAAATTTGTTTGCATTTGTCCTTGACCCATGCAGATGTCGCAATCCGCTGTCCCCGTGATCTCCAGAGAGCTGCAGGAAGACATGGCCGTTTGTTCCAGAGCCGTTCTGCTGGCCGGTGAACACATCCACCAAGTAGTCTCTCACTGCAGCAGGGCAACAATGATAACTGATCAGTGTAACAAGTAGTGAAGGCAGTTTGATATCTATTAATTAGACCTAGTTTTAGTAAGAGTTTAACGGCACTTGAAGCACAATAAGGTCATATAAAACATTAGTGCCAAAGATTAGAGGTGTTACAAGAGAGTAACAAACACAAAAAAGAAGGAGGGGAGATAAAGACGATACATGTTCGATAGGAGAGAAGAAGCAAACCACACCAGAGCACCCGCCAACCACCCACGTTTGAAATCTATAAAGACAATCAGTATAACAAGTAGTAAAGAAAATTTGAGATCTAAAAAGACCCCGGTACGAACAATCATTGATTCCCAGAGTATGTTTGCTCACGGCATGATGACTCCACATTCTTCAGGGGACTGTGCTTTTAAGTAGAGGTTTTAGGGCGCTCGCAACTGCATAAGGTCATATGAGTATGAGCGCCAGAAGATTAGAGGTGTTACAAGAAAGTAAAAAACATAAAAAAGAAGAAAGGGAGATAAGGACGATAGATTTTGAAATGAAAGAAGAAGCAAACCACACCAGAGCACCCGCCAACCACCCACGAGGACTGTGCATGATAGGAGAAGGAGAAGAGGTGGACTGACAACATTATATCTGATCTTTATAGATTTCAAGTGAATGGTTGGCGGGTGCTCAGGTGTGGTTTGCTTCTTCTTTCCTATCAAACACCTATCATCCTTATCTCCCCTTCTTCTTTTTTGTGTTTGTTACTCTCTTATAACACCTCTAAATGGACAGGGAAATCCTCTTCCTAAACTCGTGCGCTCGCAAAAAAACGTGAAAAGTGGAGACACCTGACGAGGCTCTCTGTCAGAAAGCACCCCTACGATCCTAGTGGATTATGGAATCAGTGACAGTGACACGTTGACATCACATCTACTCTTTTAATTTTAGTAGAGGTTTTACGGCGCTCACAACTGCATAAGGTCATACGAGCGCCAGAAGATTAGAGCTGTTACAAGAGAGTAATAAACATAAAAAAGAAGAAGGGGAGATAAGGATGATAGATGTTTGATAGGAAAGAAGAAGCAAACCCCACCAGAGCACCCGCCAACCACCCACACATCTACTCTTGAGCAAAGGGAGAAACAACTAGTTCAATAAGAGATTGGTCTATAACTGCAACACGTTCTGGTAATCAAACCACTGTAATACTACTGGTTTCTAGAAATGTTTCAACATAAGCATAAAATTCTGAATGGAAGAAACCACAAACTATTGGTTCCATGCATACTTGTTTAGTTTTAGTTTTTGTTGAGCTTTTACGGTGCTCGCAACTGCATAAGGTCATATGAGCACCAGAAGATTAGAGGTGTTACAAGAGAGTAACAAAAATAGAAAAGAAGAAGCGGAGATAAGGATAATAGATGTTTGATAGGAAAGAAGAAGCAAACCACACCAGAGTACCCGCCAACCACCCACATGCATACTTGAAATGTTTTACATCCTCTCATGATACACTTTAGATTAATTAGGAGGCTGCGTAGTTCAACCACACCTGACAGAGACAAACAGGACAGAGTGGGATACAGCAACCTAGCTGAAGGACAGAGATTCTCAATAAAATATTCTACCTCTGGCAAAAATTTAACGCAGATCTTTCGTTTGCCTGCAATGGTGAAGAGAAACTGTTGTACGTGGAGAACAATGGCATTTGTTAATGATAAACCTTATATGTGTCATGACGTGGTGGAATCAGGCGCTTGTCAATTTTTGGGCATATATATAGGTTATTGGTATCACCTTAAAGCTTGTTCATTTGCCTTGCATTTGATGAAAAAAATATCAATTTATCTTTAACACAAATCAAGATATTGGCGATTGAAGGAGGTGGGGGTTGCCTAGTTTCAGAGGTAAATTAGTGAGAAAATGGCTGCCAAATTTTGTTATTTTCTTAGCTTGAGAGTCTGTGGAAATTGAAAATTTACATCTTTTAAGCCTTTAATCAATGCTTTTCAGTCAAATCCACACAAAAATGTGTTCTTTAATGGGAATGAAAGGTGTTGAGCCAAAAAACTAAATTTTGATAAAATTTCCAAACTAGAGGTAAATGCGTTTCTTCACTTTCATTGTTTTGATGAGCGCCTGATTCCACAACACTGCCTCACATTTACACATTCTTCTCACGAGAGCACTCCAAAAGGTGTTGTACCTTTTCAAGTTGGGGGTGTTTCCCTTCAACGAAAACAATAAAACAAATGTGTAAACAAAACCAGATGTGACATGGTGAGAAACATCAAGATCAGAGAAATGGTGGGAACAACACCTGTCCTCTATTACATTCAAAGGCAAACAATCAGGTGGTTTGGACCTCTCACACGTATGGCACCTAACGAGCTTGCCAATAAAGCCTACTACAGGAAAGTATCAGGGTACAAAGCAAGAGGAAGACCAAAAAAGACCTCCAGGGTGTGAAGGATACCCTGAGAACATGATACAATATCCCACCCAGCCAGGCCATCGAACTTGCTAGAGACAGGAAGCTCTTTCTCCCCTCGACGCCCTAGTGGTACAAGAGGACGGATAAAGTAACGTTAAGTAAGTTAAGTAAACAACATTGAACTACCTGGCAGGGTGTCAGATGGGTTGTCTTGAGCCACGGGAAACTCTCGCCAGTAGTCATGGTCATCCTCCATGCGGACCCACTGCTTCATCAGAACTTCGTAAGCCTTCCCCGACTTCTTGTCTCTCAGTTTTATCTGATGCAGTAAAGTACAAACAGTTTAACTTTACTCATTGCAGATGGACAACTTCTGTTGGTGCAACTTGACCAGAGTGATGACGGACCGATGTAATATTGAACAGTTCTCTAAAACAGTTAATCATCATCATCCAGTGCCAGATCTGAGACACACATCGGCGATCATGGTTCTCCATTCATTCCTTTGCTTGGATGTTCTCAAAAAAGCTACGTTTCCCAGATCTTTCCCAGTTAATAGCTCCGTATATTCAGTAAATACGCGAATGTATAGGAGGGTGCGGTGGCGGAGTGGTTAGTGCGCTCGTCTCCGAAGCGGAAAGTCCGGGTTCTAGCCTCGGTTCGGACATGGATTTTTCTCGCCCCCTCCTGCCCACACAGCAGTAATGGGTACCTGACTTCGAGTATGGGAAGAAAAGATGGTGTGGAAAGGACTAGCCACCCTACCACAATATGCTGAAAGCCCAGGAAGTTGTCTCACTAACAAGGCAATCCCCAATGTCCAGATTGGATGCGGGAACAACTTTACCTTTACAGGAATGTGGCAAAGCCCAACTTTGTTTCATGTCTAATTTTTAACTTGGCCCTTTCACTTTCAAGGAAGTTTCAAGAAAAAACAATTTTGGTTGGATTTGTAATACTCCAGTTAATACCTCAGATTTAGCATAGCAACTACAGGCTCTGAGTTGTACTGTGTGGAAATTGTCATGAAAAAACCCCAACAAAACATGGAAAAGCTTTTCAGATGTGTTTGAACAATCGCCTTGAAACTATTAAAAGAATCATCAATAACATTCCCATCTTGATGACTGCATGGACAAATTAGCCTGAAGACTTATCCAAAGATCGTACATAACAAGATAGTTCACTCCTCTCATTGAGCCAATTACAAAAGTGTCCTCAAAATTCGGCGGCGCCCTCTTTGAAAAAGTGCGGACTTTGCGAACAGAGTTACCCTACTTGTGTGAAAAGCAATAAAAGTGAAACTAACAAACTGTGCTATTCCTATTCTTCTTCTGGATAAACTAAAGAGAGCTTCAAAACAGAGACAGCAGCGCCATCTGAACCAATGCCAGGACTTTCGCGGACACTTTTTTGTCTGAGTGAACTATCTTGTTATGTACCATCTTTGACTTATCTCAGTCCACTTAAAACTGGAACTTTCAGGCTGCGACAAACCATATACAACACAGTCTTGATCCGCTATGCTCTGTAAGGCATAATCTGCTTATCTTACTCTTTTCTAGCACTGTCCCAATAAATAGCCAATAGAACTTATATTTCGTAATACATATTACTCTCTATAAGGTCAAATATGACAGAAGGATACAGTATAATGAGTGGTACAGAGTAATAATACCTTTGGGTCCCAAATACTTACTGAAATGATCATTTTATGTCTTAAAGATAATTTATCTAAATTTATTTGTATTGTTGTGTAAAGTGCTTAACAAAATATTAATATAAGCATGAAATAAAATATTGGTGGTCTCATTAAGCTAATTCTATATAAAGTGATGCAAGCTGAGAGCTTACCATGTCACCAAACCATGATGGGCAGGAATTTGGTTCTGTGTACCATTCCATTTCTTTCCCAGCATTCTCAAATCCCACTCTAATTTTGTAGAGATCTCCAACATTCTCATCTGTGGAAATCTGAAAAGAAAAACCCCCAATTAAAAAGCGTGTAAAAGATATAATCTATATATATAAAGTTGAGATGAGATTGGAAAGGGCCATTTTATCTTGAGACAAAATAAGTTTTTGTTTTGATATCAAAAGGTTGAATAAAAACCTCATGCTCAAGATGACTTTTGAAGATCAGAAAAGAGGAAACTAAGAGGTCACACATTTCAGAAAAATGAACAAACATGTTGACCTGACTTTTTGTACACTTTATTCTTATTTTCTGAAGAAAAATAAATATTTGAATGCTTAGAAAGAATAATGAATGTTCGCTTTGACAGTTATTTCAGTTTATATTTTACTTTATCCAACAACACTGCAGTTGTTATCAAAGTTTCCTTTAATGTGGTGTGTGATTTTGGTTTTCGACTCCTTTTAACACTATACAACAACACCCTCTGATCTAAGGCTCATTTCTCAAAGGACTGAGCACATGGAGAGAAGAGCCATGTGAACTCATCTTTAATTGATGCTCAGTTGGATGTTTTCAAACCAGGGTCATCTACAAAACAGTCCAGTCTGATTTCAGCTGAACTGCAGATACTCTTCACCAAAAGAATTTCCAAACATACTTTGAAACAATAAAGCACAAATCATACTTGTAAAAACATAAACATCAAAGCCACCGAGGCAGGAATTATAAATTTTTCACTTGAACAAAAAAGAAGTGACAACAGAAGAGAAATAAGCTCGTCATCTTGTCCTGGTTACTCACTTCAAACAGCTGTGACTGCTCGTCGCCGAGAGTAGAATTCTCCTGCTCCAGCACCAAAGCCTCCGAGTGTCCCTTGTCTCCGTACAGGATGAGCACAATGTCGCTCTTTGTCTTGTGACCCACTCCAGTTCCAGTTACAGTTGTCACCTCATAGCTGAAGGCTGTAAAATTGAAAAAACCCCCAAAGGCGAAGCAAAGATGAGATACATGAACTTCATATCGAAAAGACAAAATATCAATAATTTCATGGTGACAATCATAACTACTGGACATTATTTGACACAGAAAAACTATTATGGAATGCTTACTTCGAATCAACGGGATAACAGCCACATTTGCAAGGAACAAATAAGGAAAGAAGAACCATTGAAAAAAAAAAGTAGAGAGAGGAGACTCACATAACAGGATAGAATCAATCAGGAAGGAACCATGCAAAGGCTCATGATGTTAAGTCAACCCGCAAGCAACAAATACTTTTGCAAGATAATCATACGTCAAAACAAAGCACACATTGACGTGGAATCCACATGGAAAACGTAAGAAAGGAAGACCAAAGATGACACGGAGGCGAGCTGTACAAGCGGAAATGGAAAAGGCGGGGACATCATGGAAACAGCTAGAAAAGGAAGCACAGGACAGGCTTTGCTGGAGAAATGATGTTGATGGCCTATGCTCCACTGGGAGTTAAAAAGGGCAAGACAGAGAGACAAAGCACACAAGCAACTACTGAGTGAGTGGAAGTTAGTGTATCTCCGTCTTTGTGCTGGGATGCTGTAACCCATTCAGCCTAGGTTGGTCCTGACAGTCAAGTTCAAAGCAGCCCACCTCTAAAACCACCTAATTGCGTCAATGGGCGTATAATATATATATATTATATATAATATATTAAAAAAAAAAAAGTTTGCAAGTAAGTAAGTTAGTAAAAAAAACAACACCAGCAAGCTTTTAACAAGAGAAAACCGTACACACCTTTCTGTGGTGGCGCTGGTGGCTCTGGCTGGGGCTCCGGTTCGGGTGTCTGAGCTTTTGGAGTCACAGGCTTCTCCTCCACAGGCTCTGGTACGTCTTCTACGTCCACCATTGCTGAGGGCATTCTGGAGGAACGGTTTGTCTCTGGGGCAATGGTGCTCACGTCTTCACCAACGTGTAGTGTCCTCATTGTTAGCCCGTCATCCTGACCTGCGTCCAGCCACCTGTAATTACGTTTTGATTAAGTAAGAGTGTTACAGCATGTGCAACACAATAAGGTCATATAAGTGCCAAAGACTAGAGGTATTACAAGAGAGTTTTGTTTGTTTTAGTAAGTGTTTTACGCACTTGCAACAAAATAAGAGATGACGTACGGATAGGGTTAACCCTATTTTTCTCACAATAGCACTTTTCTGACACAGGTCAGAACCATTATTCTGCATAAAATTACGACATTCGAAAAAAAATATTGGAGAAAAAGTACAGATGTTTCAGAGGACTTCAAATTGTTCATTTCAAGAAAGTGAATGCCCTACTTTAAAACAGACAGATTTCTGCTGTTTCTTCATCTGCCGTTTAAATGGTTTCCAAGTTTGTGACCCAATCATCCTATTCTATATACATATAAAAAGTATTCAATGTTCCAGAATTCATTTATCTGGCTCATAACTTTTATACAATTTGCTTGGCACAGATCACACATCTTTTAGGGTTTTTTAATGTATGGCCAGCAAATTTATATATGAGTAGCAATGTCTTGACACAAATACACACATCTTCGTCATTCATATACTGCTTATAAAAAAATAGCACTCTTTCTTACAATGGTGGTGTTTGAGACATGAATGTTTTACAGCACTCAAGAATTAAGAAGATCTTATAGTAAAGTAAAAAAAAACTTTTTACCTGTTGCATGGGAACACATAATCTTCTTCTTCACTACTTGGTCTCACAGTCACTTTGTTGAGGAACCATCCCATACCTATAGAAAAGAAAATAAGTAAATCAGTCAGTCAGTAAATCAGTAAGTCAGCATATAAGTCAATCAGTAAGTCAGTAGGCAATTAAGTAAGCCAGCCAGCCCGCCAGCCAGCCAGCCAGTATTTATACGTCTTGTGGGTAGACTCTAAGAAAAAAAAAAAATTCAGCACTGCTATAGAAAACTAAACTGAATCCTAGTTCAACGCACTGCCATTTCTTATGTTGACATCTTGGTACTGTTTAACTCTTTATCTCCGGCAAGACGCTCCCAGTGGCTCGCGGTCGGAACCACATACTGTGCTGGTGAGCCTCTGACAGTAACTCAGGCACATTCCTTTACCACGACTTCGACATCAAATTACTTCTCAGCAATAGCCACAAACAGGGCTCTTTTATCGGAACCTCATTCATTAGATGAAGAACTATCAAAATAGGTTCACTTGTTTTAATTTAATTACCAATTTAGTGACGTTTTTGTCATTTTTAGATTTAGTTCCAAAAAACGGGCCCGGAGTAGTGGGTTTACCCCCCACGGAGATAAAGAGTTAATGCAACTTTTGGTAAATATATTATACTTATCTAAAGAAGCCATAACCCTAGAATACTGTTGGCCAGATGGAACTACGTGACCATGAAGCATCAAATTAAAACAGGTGATGAAAATGTGGCCTCCTGCGGTGGCTTTTATCAGATGATACAGGGTGTTGAGGCCAGTAAGAGAAATATGATGAACCAGCATAAATAGGTTTATCAACTAACTATCACATAAACATATCTTGACCAATATAATTGTAATACCATTTGAGACTGGAAATAGATGTAAACCAGGTAGACTTCTACGGAAAGTTATGAAATAAAAAGGAACAAGAAAGCAAGAACGTTCTTTTTTGAGCCTCATTTTCTTTAGTGAACATAAGCTTATCACATATCACATTTTGTCCACATCTGAGGACTCTTACCGGGACTTTTATTTGCATGGCCAATAGTGACACTCTCAAGGTTCATGAGACTGACAGCTTCAATCACAAATGTGTTGCTCTGAGAAGAAAGATGAAAACATTTTCAACCACAAGAAATAATAAACGTGAACTGAAAGTAATTAGAAAGTCCAAGACAGTCAAAACAAAGCATAAAAAATTTATTTATTTGATGAAGCTCAAAGGAAATTATCATCAAAATGAAAATTATTGCAAAGTGTTTAGGTAAGAAAATAATTTACAAAAAACTGTGACTGTGAGTAAAATAAGTCCATGACCTGATCCTGAGTGCTTGGAGAATTCTGTAACAAGTTATCTACAGTTCTTCTTGTGCTGCATGGGGAGAGCCCCCCCCCCCTCCCCAGCAACAAGACAATTTTGGTACTGTCTTCTTATGCCATTTCGTTTTCTAGGTTGACTTCAATCTATCTGAAAAGAGGCAGTCTGTCTTCATAATATCAAAACACAACTGAAAGATAGAAAACTTGACAGACTTAAAACATTCGTATACCTGACCAAGTGGTTGGTTGGCGGGTGCTCTGGTCTGGTTTGCTTCTTCTTTCCTATCAAACATCTATCGTCCTCATCTCCACTACTCTTTTTTATGTTTGTAACTCTCTTGTAACACCTCTAATCTTCTGGCGCTCATATGACCTTATGCAGTTGTGAGCGCCGTAAAACCTCTATTAAAACAATACCTGGCCAAGCTGAAACTTTGCCTCACTCGTCCTCGTATCCTTCAACATTCTGAATCCTGTGCTGCCCGTTTCTCCATCCACTTTCAACATAATCTGCGCACTGGTGCCTGCCTCCGGTACATCTCCTGTTTCTACCGTGATGCTGTATTGGATGACTGAGAAAAGAAAAAAAGCACTTACTTGTTTCAGCTTTCCCTGCCTCTTAACTCTATGCTTTAAAACATTTCAATACTTTTAGTCGAACAGCCTCTACTTTGGAGCCTCAAACGACTAAATCGTCAATGTCAGTACTTTGATATTTCCATAATACTAGACATTACAAAGTCAATTTTATCTTGAACATTATATATCAATGTTGAGTCCAAGTAGTTTTACCCCCACAGGTTTTTTTCAGTTAAAAAGAAGTGCATTTACGTATATATAATATGCCAGTGTTACATTAGAACAAAACAGCAATGAAAACAGATAGAATAAAAAGACCAAAATAGAGTGCCCATCACTACCCAATTTTGAGACAACATCACCTACTCCTAATCAGGGATTCTGCTGTGGAATTTAAAAAAAGGCAGTCTCTAATAAATATTCATGAGTAATACAAAGTACAACCATCAAACGCAATCCTTAATAATAATAAATCAAGTGATAACATTCACAATGCATGGTGGTTTTATTCAAAAGGTAATAAAATTCAAACGGCTAAATCTTTGATCCGATGACCTAAGAACAGTAAGTAAAAATGAATGAACCCAAAGGTATACTACTGTGACATTTTGGCCCTCACTTGGTAATATGAAAATTCCTGGCCAAACAACTGGGAATTCTTTCCATCCATCGGCCACATCATCCACTTTGACATGGTCATTCAGAGTAAACCAGAATGTGTCTCTCGTATCTGTGTCTTCAAAAACAACCTGTGATAGGACAAAAGAATGATATATTATATATATATAGGCCTCTATATGAGGCATTGTGGTGAAATGAGGCACTCATCAAAATAATAAAATCGAAGAAACTGGCAACTTTCTGCCAGATTGTCAATTTTTATTGAAATTTTGGTTTTTGGCTCAACATGTTTTATGTCCATATAAAAACACATTGCCATTTGTATTTTACTGTAAACGTTGATTAAAGGAGCAAAATGTGTAAATATTCAGTTTTCAAGGACTCTCAAACTATTGAAGTTAACACACTTTGGTGGCCATTTTCAGGCTTTTTTTTTAACCTCTGAAACCAGCGACCCCCACCTCTGTCAATTGCAAATATCTCAACTGCTTTTCAAGATGGATGTGAATTTTTTTTCCATCAAAAGGTAGATAGATGAAAAAGCGTTAAGATGATACCAATAACTCCAAATGCCCAAAAATTGACAAGTGCCTGATTCCGCCAAGTAGAAACACATGTGTTAATAATAGATAATAGATAGCATTTATATACCCCAAATTATCGCTCAACAGCAAACTTTATGTGCTTTACAATCTATACTATTACCCCAACAGACCTAATAGCATTCTAAAACAATCTCAACTTCCTGGGAAGCATACAGTGCAAGCTGCCGTTTATGAGAGCTAAAACACTAACATACTGACAAGATCTTTCTCTGTCTATAGCTGGGTACCCATTCCCTCTGGGTGAAGTGAGGAAAATTTGCGTGAAGTGCATTTCTCAAGGACACAGCATCAGGCCTGTGGCTCGAATCCCCTCAGTTCGTACTGACATGCAATTCGTACTGACATGATTACGAGTACGGTAAGGTAGCCAAACCACGTGTTGAACAGCAGAGTCTATTAGTTTTGTATGCGATGAATCCAAAAACACATAGATATATATACAAGGCAACGAGAAAGAAGAAGCCCTCGTCACAAGACATGATCAAACTCAGTGTGAATTTAATAAGTAAACTAACATCACTCAGGACACTCGCTGAAGGAAATTACAGAGAATATTGAATGAGCATCAGTGAAATCCCAAATAAAATAACCATAAGCAGCCATGTGACCAGAAGAAAAGCCTTAAAATGGTGGAAAAAAAAAGAAAAAAAGAAAGGATGAAGTATCAATTGGCAGCCATACTTTTAAACTGCCAGCTGAATAATTTCAACTCAGAAAACCCACCACTGTACCTGTTTCATGATTTATTCACTCTTTTAAAGCCCAAACCTGTTGGCCTCAGCAGCAACTTTTAAAAATTACATTCCCATCTTAGAAATCACGTTTTACAGAGAAGGGGAATCCACACAACAAAACAGCTACTTTCTACAACATATGTCAATGGGCCAAAGGGCACGAGGAAAGCAACAACACGATAAAGGCATAGCCACGAAACACATTTTCTCACAAGTACCTTGTAATTCCAGCTTAGCTAAAACAGCTCAAACCATCTATGGGTGAGAGTGATAAATCCTGATTCACATAACAGCTGTACAAATAGACATAAATAAGGTGCATATCATCAGTGCATTTCGCTATCTGCGCATGGAGCGATTTGATACTTTCAAGAAAATGGGAACCAAATTTATTACTAGTCTAATACATGTTTTGGCCTTTTGATTTTTACAGTTTATATTTAAGTTGTCATGAATTAGTAATGAAAGTAAAATGCAAGAGCTGGTTTTTAAGATATTGTGCTTAGGTCAGATGCCTTAAAATCATAGTTTTCAAATTTTGTTCAAAACACGGATAGCGAACTGCAATGATGATATACATGATCAGCCAAAGTTTATCTGAAGAGGGGCTCCGAAAATGAGATGAAGGATGAAATGTAGAAAAAAATGCAAACAAAATTGCCTTTAAAATACACCAAAAAAACCCCTCTCAAAACCCATGAGGCAGTGAAAAACTTTGAATTGGTTGTACTGACCTTCTTCACATGCCAGGATTTGTGTTCAGAATTGTCCTCGAACCCTAGACGGACCTTGACCAAATCTCCAACGTCTTCGGTCAGGTTAAGCTGCAATTCAAACAGATGGAAGTGTCAAAGAATTAAACAATATTTGGGCAGATAAGAAAATAAATTCAAACAAGCAAACTACATTTTCTCATTGCGACCTCAAACATGACCCCGTTTATTAATAAATTTGAACTTACTAAAGTTTCTTTGCAATACTGTTGGAACGGGTATAGGATGAGCAAAATATAGACAATTTGCTTTTGACACAGTATGATAAAGATTGAGGAACCTCCAACTGATTTCTACTTCTGATAGTAAAGTAAAAGTTGTTCCTGCATTCGATCCGGACACTGGGGGTTGCCTTGTTAGTGAGACAACTTCCTGGGCTTTTGGCATATTGTGGTAGGGTGGCCAGTTCCTTTTCACGCCGCCTTTACTTCCCCAACTCGAAGTTAGGTATCCATTACTGCTGGGTGGGCAGGAGGGGACCGAAAAAAAACCCTGTGTCTGATAGTACAAAACTGGTATATATACTTTTATAAGCCTTGAGGATAGACAACAAAAAAATACAAAAAACGAAAGTCCCAGTGTACGCTTCCAGGGTCAAATATACCCCAGTCAGCAAAATGCAAACTGAGTTAATGACTGGGCCTGATTCACCTTTCAAGAGTTCACAACTTCAATGAGCATGATAAATGATGAGTAGAAAAACAAAAAACAATCACTTAATTATTTCAAAATTCGCAGGAAAAAATGATTCAAAGTGATATTTATATACCAAGCACCAACACAATACCACTAAATTTAGAACAGAACTCTTACCTCCATACTGTCAGTCATGCCGGCTTGGAATGGGTTATCCCTTCTGAATTTCAATTTAGCTGGGGTACTCTCCCCCTTTGTTCCGGCAAACACAACGACAACATCAGTGGCGTCCCCTCTCGTGCCCTCAGGGCCCGTGATGGCTTCCATAGTCCAGTGGCCTCCTGGGAAATGAAAATCATAGTGGGTGAGGTGAAGAGTTAGTTTTAGTAGAGGTTTTACGGCACTTGCAACTGCATAAGGTCATATGAGCGCCAGAAGATTAGAGGTGTTACAAGAGAGTAACAAACATAAAAAAGAAGACGGAGAGATAAGGATGATAGATGTTTGATAGGAAAGAAGGAGCAAACCACACCAGAGCACCCGCCAACCACCTATTGAGGGGAAGAGCTGTACAAGAAGTACAATCGAAATTGTTCAAGATGGCCATCCCCCCACCAGGGCAGTGCTACTGGCTCAAATGTCTTTTGGCCATTCCCAAAGGGGGGATATTAACATGTTCTTATGCAGAGTAGAATTGCAAATGGGCTGATATATCAATGTCATGCTCGTATGTGCCGGAACAACATGGAGGAACTGCTGCTTTTTCTTTCCTCATCCTTACTATCGTCACTTTCTTCTGTTTCTTTTGTATGTTTGTCACTCTCTTGTGAACTGCTATTTCTGGGGTGCCTTGATAGTCGAAGCAGACTTTGTGCTGTTGAGGCTAGAGAGGCTAGAGAGCTGAGCTGAGTAAGCCTGATTCCCCGTTTGGACTTCCCTGTTGACATCCACCCCTTGGCGCTCATATGACCTTTTAGAGACTATAAGCAGACAGACTCTGGGACAGATCCTGAAGAGAGGGGGGTGGGGGGGAGGGAGAGAGCAGAGATGGACATGTTCCGACTGCAGTGACCCCAACACATTGGACAAGTAAGATGACCTTATGGAGTTGCGAGTGTTGTTAAAGCCTTATTAAAACTAAAAAAACCCAAGATGGCCACCCATTGTGGAGGAGAAAAGTGGTTGTCTTGCACTAGTGTACGTCTTCGACAGTGTCATTGTAATGTAGAAAAAATGCACAAAAGGGGAAGTGAGAAGAGGTTGTATGTATATTTGTACAGGGGATTGTCTTGTACAGGTGATTGTCTTGTACAGGAGATTGTCTTAGACAGGCGGTTGTTGGAGAAGGTTCGACTGTACATACAATATAAGATGGATAGCTTATGGGACTGGCCTTGGTAGTTGGAGGGATCCGTAGTTCCAGGGATATCTTACAAAGATAATGAAGGAAAAACAGGACTGCAGGCACAGTTCGATGGATGCGTGATTTCAAGTCTTCTGTGTTTGACCTATCTGTGTTATGCTGTAATTATAATGGTTAAAACCTCTTGCATTGCCTCTACAATGCTAGTAACTGGTGAGGTTCATGGCTTCATTCACATCAAAGAAAGGAGGCAGGGAAGATCTTTTTTCAGGTCAGTTAAAAATAGTTTTCAGAATGTAGTAAAAAAAGATAGTCATTTTGTAGAAAATACAAGTATGCATGCTTCCAGATGACATCATTTTGTAAGCTGTAGCATGAAATGATACTTTTCAAAAGAAAAATCTTACTTGTGATAGGAAAATCTGGGAAGTCAGTAGTCGGCACGGCAACAGAGCTTGGCTTTCCTGAAATCACTGGAAGTGTAACCTCGACTTCCTTGTCTCGCTCTTCTGAACTGCCAATCCAACTGAAAAAAATTGTAACACCCCCAATAAATTGGAAACTTTTACACCTTCAGTCTCAAGTAAGACCAAAAAAAAAAAAAAAAGAAGAGTTTTTAATCTTTTTCTAAATCATATGTGCAGCTTGAATACTAGTATATTATCTGTTATAAATAAGTTCTTAAAAGGCAGTTAACGCTGATGTTAAAACAGTATTTCTCATTTGGTGTATTTGTTAATTAATTAGAATTAATAAGCACACTTTCTGTGATGAATACATGCAAAGAAGAACATATAATCCCCTTTTAAAGAGGAAATGAATCTTTGTCGTCAATAACTTCACATACTGTTCCATCAGCGTAATATTAAGGCATAATCTGCTTATCTTACTCTTTTCTAGCACTGTCCCAATAAATAGCCAATAGAACTTATATTTTGTAATACATATTACTCTCTAAAAGGTCAAATATGACAGAAGGATACAGTATAATAAGTGGTAGAGAGTAATAATTTATGCTACATAAAAAGAAGGCAACAATTAATTTGACATCTACCAGTATGTTAAATTTTCACTTTTCTTAAGTAAGAAACATTATTACATACTGGTTCGATGTAAACTTTTCTTTTAAATTAGGCTTCTCTGCAGCGAGAATAAACTTTTCCTGAGAAAAATGCTTACTTGCTCCATATAAATACATTTTCCAGAGGCCCAAAAGGTCCCGCTTTCACCACAGCTTGGCTGAGCATCCATGGGTCGCCAGGACCTTTTGTTAGCACCATTTTCTCGAGATCACCAAGGTCGACCGCCTCAATTTCAAACTGTAATTTCTACATGAAGACAAAAGAAGAAGGTTGGAGCAAAGTCAAAATATTGGTTTGTTCTAGTGAGAGTTTTACGGCACTTGCAACACAATAAGGTCATATAAGTGCCGAAGATTAGAGGTGTTACAAGAGAGTAACAAATACAAAAAAGAAGGAGGGGAGATAAAGACGATAGATGTTTGATAGGAAAGAAGAAGCAAACCACACCACAGCACTCACCAACCACCCACAAAATATTGGTTTAAAACCAGGATCGGTGCTAACATGAAAGCCACATTGGAAGAGAATAGCTTTCTTTATTTTATACTTACCCAGTTGCAAGATCCCGGAGAGTAAACAAAAAAAATGAAAGAATGTACAGTGTATGAAAGAATTTAGTTTAGTTTAAGTAGACGTTTTACAGTGCTCGCAACTACATAAGGTAATATGAGCGCCAGAAGATTAGAGGGGTTACAAGAGAGTAACAAACATAAAAAAGAAGAGGGGGAGATAAGGACGATAGATTTTTCATAGGAAAGAAGAAGTAAACCACACCAGAGCACCCACCAACCACCCACATATGAAAGAATGTTTAAAAAACAATGAGTGTGGCTGTGGTCCTGCAGGGACTTGAAAAGTGAGAGCAAACCTACAACAACAAGAGTGATGTGGAGAACAGAGTTGTCAAAAGAGTGACCCAGAGAGGATCATTTCTGGGAACTCACAGGGTGGTTAGGAGGTTGTTTTGTGTTCAGCAAGGGTATACAGCCTATTGGTACTGAAATAAGTCGCTGTATTTACTGCGGATGGTGATAACTGATATATGAACACAACAATTCTTTGGATTATTTGAAGAGTGCACAAACATAGGCATACACAGACAAACTAGAGATGGTCATCCGGAAATAAAATGGTCGTTTTTAAGAACAAGCGAGCTAACCCAGATTTTGGGGGTTTCCAGAAATCTTGATCTTCACCAAAAGTGGGCTTTGCCCTACCTATAGGAGAAGTTTGGTTTCATTGGTGTGTATACTTGTTTGGTTATAGAGAAAACTCTCCTTGTTTTTTAAAGGAAGTGAACAAGGGGCAAAAACTTTACCTTCGATTTTTTCAAAACAGCATTTTTCGGGATAGCCCCCTTGTGCTTAAAAATTACCAAATCAGAGAGAATATTAAAGGGGGGGGGGGGGAGGGAGATGTCGACAGACAGAATCAGGGGTACAGAAGGCTGACAAGGAGGGAAAGGGAGAAGTGGAGAGACAGAGGGAGACACGGAGAAGAGAGCAAAAAGGAGGAAAACTTTCACGAATAGTTAAAAAATGGTAAATCTCACCTGGCCCTGTCTGAAAGGAGCCATCCCTTCCTTTGTGTGCAGCAGCCTCCTGCCACTGTCACCTTTAGAGCCGTACAGAGTGGCGTAGACTTTTGCCGTCGTTCCCGCACGGTCAACATCTTCTGTGTGCACTCGCACTGTGTACGTTACCACTGGGGGAGAGGTTGTAGTGATGAGAAAAAATGTATGTTAAATACTCAAAAACCCCCCAAAAATCAAGGTGTACGTGATAATATAATTTAGTTTTTTTTTGTTGTCCTGTGTCCTGATTTTGGTGCCCATATTTGTTGGTTATGTAAGAATGTATTGACATGGTGCAAATTGTTATTTTTTCTAGAGAAACGAAACAAGGGAAAGGGTAATTGTTAAGTAGGTAATGATGATGATGATGATGATGCAGCTGCTGCTGCTGCTGCTGCTGCTGCTGCTGCTGCTGCTGATGTTGATGATGATGATGATGATGATGATGGTGGTGACAGTGTCAGTAATGGTAAAATATAATAGAGTTATTGCCAGTCAGTTTTTTGTTTGTATGTTTGTTTTAAAGATATGCACCAGCACTGCATGGTTCATCACTTCGATGCAGTTGTTGTAGCTATGAGCAAATATCAATATTCATTGGTCCAATTAAAACACAGGATGAAATACTTCAACTTCTTCTCTGTTTATATAAACTTAAAATGTGCATTTTTATACAGCACAGAATACCAGTAAGAAGAATTTATGAAAAAGAATTGCGTGGAATAGATTTAGAAATCTATGTGATAAGATTCCCTTTCCTTTGGCTTGTTTATTTGCTCGTACTAAACTGGTGAGAAGAGTTTGTGATTTGACTGATTTAGGAAAATAAATCCTGCCATAAATGGCTAAACTAAGTATGAAAAAATTCAGCTTCAGATTCATTTGTTAGTACGTTTATTCAGACAAAAGAGAAGTGAATCAACATAATAATGGCAGGACACTGTACAGTAAGTTTACTTGGCATCTTGCTGGACTCTGGTATTAGCAGCCCTGGTTTGTGTTTAAGAAAGGACATTCTCCAGCTCGGTTGCCTAGTGCATTTTTCTGACTCTCCATCCACTTGACTAACCCAATTGATTAGGATCAATCAAAGATGGTCTACAAAATTGGGTGGGTTGAGAAAATGGGCGTTAAACATACACTGTGCCTCACAGTAAAGGCCTTTAATGCTAGGAAAAAGCAAGACGATACACATAAATTCTAAGAAATTAGAATAACATGTAGGCCTATTGTTTCTTTAATTAAAAATCAATTGATTCTTTTAGCTAAATTCACGCTAGTTATTAACTCATTTGCTACATATTATTTTCGGCTTGTGGACACATTTTTTTCGGGAGGGCGATTGAGATGATGACTAGTGGGCAGTTAAAAGGTCTTTGGAGCCACAAATTCAAATAAATATCAACGTATTATATACCAATATTTTCAGTATGATTGTAGAATACATCTGTAATGTTTATTTAGGTATTTTTCAACTTTGGTTCCTGTAAGAGGCGATTATGCAACACAATTTTGATTGGATGCGGATAAAATTTGAAAATAAAAAATTAATAATCTTTGGTGAAACTGAAAAAATATGTTTGAACCTAGTCAAATGATACATCAAAATAACCCTAAATGAATATAGAACTGGAAAATATTGAAAAGTTTGCCGTTATTTACATACATTCCATAATATTTGTACATTTGGATCATAACATCCGATATTGAAAAACATTTAAAAAAAATAATCTTGAAAAACGATCACAAACAGAAAAAAACCCACTCGTATCTTATATGGAATTATTCAGAATTGCATTTGGAATAAACCTATACATGTCTTGAGCGGCTCTTTTTGTGTAATTTCATCAAAAAGTAATGATTTAAGGGAGAAAAAAAAAATTTGACAATTTAGATCTAGCACTCAAAAATATTGATTTCTCAATAACAGTGCAAAGGCAATATGAGTCCAATCGTATCAATATTATAAAAAAGAGTCCTACATTTCTTTAGTAGGCTAAATAATGATAGATTTTGTTGTGTAAAATTACTAAGACTGGTGTCCGGGCTATAAGTTTGGCATCTCGATAAAACAAAGTCAAATAAACTATGAAATCGCGTTTCAAAACTGAATCAAAACTTCCGATTTTCAGTGGAAATGCTTGACCCGGAAGTCAACATTATATTATGACCTTTATTTTAACATGGATATGTGGATTGGAATAGAATCTAAGCTAAAATTGAAGATCGCTTCTCGAGCCGCCGGGGGCGGCTTAGAGTACTGATGGCACTTTAGCCACATGAGTTAACACTGGCAAAAACTGTGTACAATTTTAAAAAACAAAAATGTTTTATGTGGAAAAAACGAAACAATTCAAGACAGTACTTACAAGGTGGAACTTTAGCACCAGGAAGAAGCACTGGTCTCTCCTTTCGAACATCACCCCCTATTTGACCAACACAACCGCTGAAGTCAAAATGAAGTTTTTCTTTGGTGGTCTCATCCTGAAGAATCACCTGTAGGAATAAAGATAAACAATAAAAGAAATAAATTTTTACTTTCAGCTCAAAATCCATTATCTGTGTTGATGGATACTGCAAATTTAAAATTTAAAAAATTTGCCCCATTTAATTAGAAGCAATCGCTGTAGAAAATCAACAGGGAAAAGCATTGCCAAAGACATCTCATTTCTCAACCTTACTATCAGTCTGCCTATAAATACGATTTTTTTTTTACAGAATAGTTTACACTTAATGTAGTCCCTACTATTCTCAAGCTACATTGTTTACATTTGCTGTCAACATAGCAAAACACTGATCGACTTTCTTTGATGCCAGGACAATTTACATTTTTTCACATAAGAACATAAAGGTCACACTTAACAAATTCCTTGGAACATAGAGAGTAAAAGAAATAGACATAATAACATTATTTTGACAGATTTGGTTGCATTACATGACATATTGAAGAGGGGATTATACGGGTATGAAACTATTTGCTTCGCTTTGTCTGAATAGGTGTGTGGGTATTGAAATGACGGTTACATTTTCTATAATGGTTAGGCCTACCTTTGTGAACCATAAGCCAATTTAAGACTCACATAAAATCAGTTCAGTTCATTAAATAAGATATGTGTCTTAGCTTTCCGCATCAATAAAAGCAGAGAAATTTAAATGAGCTCTTTAAAAAATTAATAAGAATATGAGGCCTGCCAGAAAATGAGCTTACCATCAAAAGAACATTTCTGGTTTTTGCATCAATGCTAGGTATTATAAGTAACCTTTAACCATCGGATCCCAGAATGATTTAATAAATCATTTGTGAAAAGCCTACCTCTTCAATGGTCCACATGGCATCTTTATCACCTTCAATGCCTGAGCTGACCCGTACTTTTGTTGGCTCCCCAATGTTTCCAAAGTTCAAACCCTGAGAAAGAAGAGTAAAGTAAGCATTCATAATCTATACACAACTGAAATTCAAAGATGGTTTTAAATCTTTTACTCTCTGCCTCAGTATCCATTTCAACCACAGAGTATATGAGAAGTTTCTTTTCAGTCCTTTCAGTATTCAAACCAGGTAAAATTCTGACTGAATTGCTTTCCATCTCTCTCTCTCTCTCTCTCTCTCTCTCTTTCTCTCTCTCCCTCTCTCTCTTACTTCTCCTCTTCCTATCTCTCTCCCTGTTCGTCCCTCACATTCTCTCTTTCTTCAACTCCCTCCACACTCTGTTCATATATAAACTCATACTTCCAAAGAATACTTTATCCGCAATGACATTTCTCCTTCCATTCTAGCTCTATCTTGCTATCACTGTACAAGCATTTATACACCTTCCTTTCTCTCATAAAAGCAAGATGTTGTTGTTGTTGTTGTTTTCCAATCCCTTTAGCTGCGAGCATTTTGCTCTTGGCAACGCAATGCCTCCCTATAAAAGCAAGATAAAAACCCAACAAGTTAAATAACCACAGAAGTCAACTCAACACACAAAAAAAGACACAACCGAAGCGTTACCTTGAAAGTCTCCACTTGACCCGGTGCAAACCGATCTGCCTGCGTCTCTCCCAGCTCCATGGGCCCGGTCACACCGTGAGTTCCGTATATAACCAGCGACACTAAGTGGGAGCGGGCAGACGCTATTTCACTCACATCCATTTTTTCCTGGGCTGCCATCCTGACTTGGCATGTCCAAATACCACCTGCAGATATCAATTTGATGCATAGCTTCAACAAATAAAACATAATATATCATGATGTGTATTGTCATTGGCATTTCTCAAATTGCTAGAAAACGACACAGATCTTGCTTTAACTCACAAGAAATGAGACTGAAATATCTTTGTTGGCTCATAACAATGAGATTGGAGTGAGCCCGAGACATGTTCTGGTCAAAAGAACAGTTCTGATAACATTGTATCTACACTTTATCTATTAAATGATTGTAGCATACTAAATGTAACATTTCTCTGAGTTACATGCATTATTACAAGATCCTTACAGTGGTAATACTCACAACAAAAGAAGAAACAGTAACACAGAACCCTTGTATCAATTAAGACGACTAACTTGTATTTCAATTAATTTTCCATAGAAGTGATCAAATGAATGGCGGCTTATCGTGCGCATCATACTTATGTTTAAATCAGGTAAACAGATCCATGTTACTTTAATGTGACAAGCATATCTCTCTCATTGGAGGAAGTTAGGAACTGATATGTTTTACATGTGGGGATGAACTAGAATATTTATAGCAAGTCAATAACTTTCCCAAAATGTGTCAGATTTGAAGGTAATTATCCATTCTGATGTTTTAAGTCTTAGTTAGAGACTTCAATTAAATGTTTAGTTGGTGTCAATCGAAACACTTGAAGACATAACAGACGCTTGATCTATAATGTTCTCCAAATGATTAAGAACAGCAAAGTGGTGAGTGAAAAGTGTGAGAAATAAAAAACCCACAAGTGTTTCTCTATCTTTGAGAAAAGTTTTCTTGCTGAGAGTTTGCATTGTAGTGGATCACTACCTTGTAGTGGTTAGAGAGCTTGTGTACCTCAGTGACCCCAAGAGCTACGCTGGCTGGAGCTAATGCTATTGGTAGGGCCACCCATGCCAGACAGGTCGACGGGTAGAGGTCAGACAAAGCGTGATCCACCGGCCCCCCAGGTTTCGGAGGTTCGGCTCTGGGCTAACGACCCAGACTGGTAAAAATCATATGTTATGGAAACAGGCAAAGTTTACGAAATTGAAAATGAACATACGTGATGCGGCCCGCACATCGCCCTTCACAATGTCTGTGTGTGAAATGCTGCCCAGTGGAGTAAACTCTCTCACAGTACGGCGGTCATCGACTCCTGTATCAAACCATCTGTTCAAAGAGAGAAAGAAAGTCATTCAGGCACATAGCACTCACACACTAACAATATATAATTAAGATCATCGCTTAGGAAAACAAGATAAAAGTTTTAAAAGTCACAAGAGAGAGAGAGAGAGAAGCCACTATGGTGCCATTATTATTTTTACTTCCCATTTTAAACCTTTTATAAAAATCAGCGTCAGTATGTGTTAAATGAAAGACGGATTAAAAAATTTCTCTGTGTGTGCGTGTGAATGCGTGTGTGTGTGTGTGTGTGTGTGTATGTGTGTGTGTGAGTGTGTGAGTGTGTGTGTGTGTGTGTGTGTGTGTGTGTGTGTGTGTGTGCATATTTTAGAGAAAAGGAAAAAAGCAAGACAAAGTTGTTCATTTTTTTTTCTTTGTTTCTTACCTGTTGCAGGCAAAGATTACATCCGACTGAGCACCTTTTTCATCTGTGGCGGTGAGGACCACTTGTTCACAGAACCAACCTCTTCCTCGGCCGTGTTCATCGTGGCCAATGAACAGCTTTGACACATTTCCCAGGTACAGAAGTTTGAGCTCAAAGTCATCAGTCTGCAATCAAAACCCACAATGAAGGTAAAACTTCACACCGATGAATGCTCTCCGAGCAAGATCCCACAATAAATTTAAAAAAAAAAAAAAAGATTCCAAGTGGATGGTTTGAGGAATCTACAAACAGACCATGGCCTTTTCTACCTCTTTATCAGCAGTTGTGGTTTTTCTCCTAGCTGAATGTGTTTATATAGATATATCTTTTACGTTCATGGTTGTTTGAACAAAACAAGAAAAGAAAGAGACTGAAAAAAAGAGATCAAACAATCTCTCATGACAGAATACTAACTAGCATGAAGAAGAAAAGGAAAGTTAGTGATACTGTGATTGCTAAAATAATTCAATAAATACCAATAAAGTAGATGGATATGTATCGTCTTCATAACAGGATTGAGCTGCATAACAATGCAAAATTAATCAAAAGAACTAGAGTAATACGAATGTCACAAAACAGTGCTTTCGTCTCAAACAAAAAAAGTAGCCTACTGACGACTAACAGATATCTATACCTGTCCTCTTTTGAACGGTTCTCGGTTGCTCAGTGACTTGTTCAAATAACATTGACCGGAGTCTCCCCACTGCCCGATGAGCATGAAATTGACCTCAGCTGAAGTCTCAGAACAAGGCAGATTACCCGTTGTTATCTTCACTTTGTATGTGCATTCTGAAATCAAGAACATTCCATCAATCATCAGGAAACAAAAACAAACAAAAGTGAAATAAATAAATACACTCATACTAATCATGCCTGCTCTTCTTGGCTGCAATTTCTCTCAACAAAAAATAATTTTCAAAAACCTAATTTTGCTCTGAATATGTTGGCACATAGATTGGAAAAACATTTGCTTTCCCTACCCACCTACCATCTTCATAATCTCGTTACACACTCATATCCAGAATTTTGATACTATAAGATAATCCCCCAAATTAAATTTCAATAATTGGTTAAATGTGTTACAAACAAAATCATATTATATTATTTATGCTGCACGTCTCCTTTCAAACTGTAATAGTTGTTAAAGAAAGTGACGACTACATTTTGTGTTTGGGACAAAATGACCACCAAGACCCCCATAACAAACCTCGTAAAGGTGCTATGTCAGGTCTTATGGCAGGAATTTCAACAAGCCCGTCCAGGTTGTCATTAGTGCTCTGGATCCAGTTGCTGTACTCAAAGTTGAACTCTTGCTTTGTATCCTTGTCCTTCAGCTTGATCTGCATGAATGTGTTCAAATACAGTACATTAAAAACCCCGGACACTTCTTTATACAACAAAGGCTCAAAGTAAAGTCACAGTTAAAAACTGTCCATCTGCAATTCAGTGTTGTTTCACATGAAATTTCTGCCCTATTTTTCAAGTAATTTCAATGTGTGATGGTCGGTATTATTAACAATTATACAGCTATTATAAGAACTGTTGAACATACAACTACAAAGCACTAGGCAGTTACATGTACCGCTCAAAACTGGACGATACAGCAGTGGACTAATACACACAGTCAAACCAGCTCTAACAACCACTAGTCTAAGACAATTGCATGTGCAAATAGCCACTTCTCACATTATCCCTGGAGTTTTTTTCTTTATTATATTCTGGCGTCTGTGGCCTAGTGGTTAGGCTCTCGGACTCGCAACTGTAAGGTCGTGGGTTCGAATCCCGTCAGGGACCCGACGTTGTGTCCTTGGGAAAGGCACTTTACACGAATTTTCCGCACTTCACCCAGGTGGGAATGGGTACCCGGCTATAGACAGCAAAAGATCTTGCCAGTTTGTTAGTGTTTGAGCGTTTAATCAGCTGCTTGCACTGTATTCTTCCCGGGAAGCTGAAAATGTTTCGGAGTGTTCTATGGTCTGCTGGGGTAATAATATAGTGTAAAGCACATAGAGCCTGCTGTTGAGCGGGGATATGCGCTATACAAATGCTATTTATTATCATAATTATTATTATAATGACATGGTCTAAGACATTTACCTGTCAAAGACAGCTGCTTTTCTCCTCCACAATGCATGACCATCTTAAACAATTTCAAATGCATATTGCTGAACAGGGGACTAATGAGCACTGGGCTATTGTATATTCTGCTACACATGGGACAATACTGTACTGGGCTATTGTATATTCTGCTACACATGGGACAATACTGTACTGGGCTATTGTATATTCTGCTACACATGGGACAATACTGTACTGGGCTATTGTATATTCTGCTACACATGGGACAATACTGTACTGGGCTATTGTATATTCTGCTACACATGGGACAATACTGTACTGGGCTATTGTATATTCTGCTACACATGGGACAATACTGTACTGGGCTATTGTATATTCTGCTACACATGGGACAATACTGTACTGGGCTATTGTATATTCTGCTACACATGGGACAATACTGTACTGGGCTATTGTATATTCTGCTACACATGGGACAATACTGTACTGGGTTATTGTATATTCTACTACACATGGGACAATACTGTACTGGGCTATTGTATATTCTACTACACATGGGACAATACTGTACTGGGCTATTGTATATTCTACTACACATGGGACAATACTGTACTGGGCTATTGTATATTCTGCTACACATGGGACAATACTGTACTGGGCTATTGTATATTCTACTACACATGGGACAATACTGTACTGGGCTATTGTATATTCTGCTACACATGGGACAATACTGTACTGGGCTATTGTATATTCTGCTACACATGGGACAATACTGTACTGGGCTATTGTATATTCTACTACACATGGGACAATACTGTACTGGGCTATTGTATATTCTACTACACATGGGACAATACTGTACTGGGCTATTGTATATTCTGCTACACATGGGACAATACTGTACTGGGCTATTGTATATTCTGCTACACATGGGACAATACTGTACTGGGCTATTGTATATTCTGCTACACATGGGACAATACTGTACTGGGCTATTGTATATTCTGCTACACATGGGACAATACTGTACTGGGCTGATGGGCTGAAAGGCAAAAGCTGCCCCCATTTCAAGTCTCAAGAATAACATTGCTGAACTCACCCTCTCTAGGAACCAAGAAGAGTTTCCCACTTTGTCTGGGAAGGACAATCTCAGTTTGAAAATTTGTCCAATGCTAACAGAGTCAACCTGTGGATAGAACATATTGACATGATAAGGTACATGATCATTACTGTCTGGATGAGATAAGCTGTTTTATATAGAAGCGAGATTAACAAACTATTTCTCTTCACAGAAAATAAGTGTTATTTTCTGAAAGAAAATTTTGACTACAAAAATGAGCAACGCTAGCACAGCATAAATCACATTACACCAAGATGGCTTAAACAGCAAGATTCAAGGTCAAGTATGATAGCATAAGAGTATTTTTTCATCCTTCTAGAAGATTCCCTCTCAACTTTGTACTCTGTAGGCACACCGCGGGTGCCACTACCTTCTTCTCTCTCCACTCTCCAACTCCCAAGCAGACCAGCACAGAACCCTCCTGCAGATCTATTCTATGTACTGTAGGCTCTTAGGCTTAACTCTTAAAACCCCATCGGACGCTGGGAGCGTCTGATACTAGTGACAAATGTTGCGTTTTATTTAATGCTATTTTTTGCTTGTTTTTCGGAACTGTTCCAGAACCAAGTTTATTAGTAATGACTAAGCCTTTGTTTTTACCATTTATAAGTTGGAGGCAAGCTTTTGGGGTTATAATGAGACATACTGCACCAGGTTTAGGTGACTGTAGGAAAAAATCCGGGAAACAGTGGAAAAAACTCAGTGTTTAAAGAGTTTAACACAAAAAAGCCACCACATCCTAGATCTCTATCTCTTCTCTCCCCTCAACAAATTAATCGCTTCCTCAGAATTACACAGTTTTTATCTCACATTTCGGGCTGCTTTGAGTTACTAATACTAAGACCATGAGATAAAAAACTAAAAGTCTCATCTGCTCCATTAAAATTGTAAGATTGTTTGTTGAAGTTGTTGTAAAGATGTTCAAAGGATTGCATTAGAAAAAGCTTGACATGATGTGAAACTCAAAATCTTTGAGAACTAGGTACTGAGCAGATAGAACTTTGTAATTCTAAGGAAGCAAAATACCAACCTGAGTGTGTATGCAAGAACTTGGACGCAGTTCTGAATCTTTGTTGAGGTGCACAGGGGTTGATGGTCCAGCAGTGCCGTACAACACAAGATGTACCGGGTCTGTAGTGCCAGCACTTTCCTGGGCTCCTGTCCACACCCAGATGTCAAACGATCCTGCGTAGAAGATGAAGGGAGAGAATTCCCAGTGGAGGGGCTTGCTTTTAGGAGATAACTGGATGCACTGAACCAAAAAACCAAACAACTCGCCTACTGACCCGCTTGGGCAGAGCTCATAAGCATGCCATCAAAATGGTTTGTGTAAGTATGTGTGGATTTCATTGTTCTCTAGTCCACCCCATCCCTTCTCCTTTACTCACTTCATCCCAACCTCTCTTTCCACTCATTTCTTTCTTCTTCATTAAAAATGACTGGTCATTATCAGTAAGGCATTGCATCGTTCCTCATTGTCACATCTACTGAGGAGCTGATATTTCAGAAAATCTACAGTGCCATTTGGAAAAACTAGAGCGATGGTCAGACCTCCCCCCTCCCCCAAAACTGTAACTAAAATGTATTGAAATTGGTAATATTGTAGTTCTTTGTATTGGTCCAGCCTTGAAGAAGGCAAAGAAAGCAGGATCCTTAGAAAACTTTATTGCCCATTGCTCAAACTGGGCTCTTTGGCAGACATTCTTTTTAGAGTGTGTTCTTAGGGGTGCAAATTATAAAGAAAAAATTCCATTACATGGTAAAAGTGTGCTCTTATGTGATGGGCCAGATTCTTACGCGTGCTCTTGGATGGAGACCACCGTATCAATCTATCTACGAAACAGAAAAAAAAAGCTTAGGCCTATGCATGGGAGCTGTCCAACAGTCATGTGCACAAAACATCATTCTCTAGAATCTTTACCTTTCCCGTCAGGATGTTTATGACCCAGTAAGGCATAGTCAATTCCGTTAGGCAGAGATGTAGCTACACCAGTTTCTGTGAACAAAATAGAATAAAAGAAACATTGGCATGATGGACACATTGAGATTTGGGGAAGTGCGCAAGTACTTGTAGTGGTGTCGGTGGCCTAGTGGTTAGACTACTGGACTTGTAATCACGAGGTTGCGGGTACAGGGTTTGAGCCGCGTGCCCGACGTTGTACCCTTGGGAAAGGCACTTTACACAAATTTTCCTCACTTCATCCAGGTGAGATTGGGTACCCGGCTGTAGACAGCGAAAGATCTTGTCAGTATGTTAGTGTTTTAGCACCTATAAATGGCTGCTTGCACAGTATGCTTCCCAGGGCGTTGAAGTTGTTTCAGAATGCTCTCAGGTCTGCGAGGGTTATAGTATAGACTGTGAAGCGCATAGAGCTTGCTGTTGTGCGGGGATTTGCGCTATACAAATGCTGTCTATTATTACTATTATTACTACAAGACTGTAGAATTTGTTCTCACAAACTTACAGCCCATAAACAATAACAAAAAGTTGAGTTTTTCACAGGAAGGAAATTTACTAATGTCCTGTCTTGTTGTGCATATGCGTGAGTGCACCTAACCTTTGTAACATCCACTGCCATTTAAACGACCAAGACAAATTTCTCCCTGCAAGACGAATAAAGATTATCATTGTCACTGCAATTGTCATTTCCTTGTACATGAACACTAACTTGCTTCTCTTTGCACGTAAACACAGACTGAAATCTCTCTTTCATAATCTCATTCAAGGAAGAAGTCCTTTGTACGTTATGTCTACACAGAGATTGTACCAACTACCACAGATGACATGGTAACAGAGGGGTTGTTTACCAGACAGTCCAAGAACAACCGCGCTGTTTTCGTCATCATCCAGCCAGCAATTTGCACGGAAGACATGTTCAGACAAAGACCAGAGACTTTCCATCACCTTGACACTTTCCACAAACCAATTTTTGGCTGAAACAAAGTAAAATGACAAATTTAGTTAGTCCACAAGTATAAGGTACTTGTAAGCTATGGTCACAAATGTCTAACATTTTTTTGGGCAAAACTCATTTTATTATCAAGCCAATAATTTAGATTACATTTTAACCCTTTTCAGTATGTTAGTGTTTTTGTGCCTCTAAAATGGCAGCTTTCACTGTATGCTTCCTAGGATGTTGAGGTTGTTTCAGAACGCAATCAGCCTGCTGGGGTAATAATAAAGATTGTAAAACACATAGAGCTTGCTGTCGAGTCGAAAATTTTATTATACAAATGCTATATATAATATTATTTATTGTTAATTGACTTCAGATCTTACCTCGGCCTTTCCCTTCAAAACCAAGCCGCACACTTGTGATCTCCCCAACACTGACTGCCTCCAGCATGTAGACGTCCAAGATCCCTTCCTTCATGTTCTCCGAGGCACTGGCTAATGGGCGAGTCAGAAGCTGCTGGCCCGAGTCTCCGTTTGTGCCGGTCAGACAGATGGAGCTGACCCCTCCGTGAGCCCCAGAGTTGGGAAGTCTGCCAGTTTGTATCAGCACCAGGTAACGCATCACTGAAAGTAAAAGATATATATGTGTGAGACAGCATGGCGAAATAAGGTGCTTGTCAAAATAATGAAATCGAAGAAAACGCCATTTTTTAAATGCAGGTTAAGCAATTTTTATCAAAATTTTGGTTTTTGGCTAATCACCTTTTTTCAGTTTAAAAACATATTTCTGTATGGATTTTACAGAAAAATGTTGCTTAAAGGAACAAAAAAATGTACATTTTTAGTTTCCATGGATTCTCAAGCTATGGAAGTCTCCTTACTTTGGCTGTCATTTTCTCTCTAATTTCTCCATTGGAACCAGGCAACCCCATCTCCTTCAATGGTAAATATCTTGACTTTTATATAAGATAGATAGGTATTTTCTTAATTGAAAGCAAGACAAATGAACAATTTTTAAGACAATACCAATAACTCTACATGCTCAAAAATTGACGAGCGCCTGATTCCAGTGCGTTGTGACATATATTTACATAGCGATTCCCTGTGCAGGAAGTCATTTACATTTATCATTTATGTTACTCATCAATGTAGGCTATGAAAAGACAATTTACCTTAAAACAACAGTTTGTGATGACTTCAGCTGAACCATTATAATATAGAAAAAAAACCGCAAAGGGAGGAGTTTGAAGTGGTCGTTTGTTCAGGTGATAGTCTCGGACAGGTGTCATCAAAGCAGGTTAGACTGAATATTTCAGATTTCAACTCCTTTCACATGATATCATATGAGAGTGACTTTTTATATGTATGCATAAGACCTGTTGTATGAAATAATATCCTGTTAACAAGTGATTAAAATGATTTTAGACTAGAAATTGAATTGGAATTTACTGAACTTTTCCCCCCATTTAATTAAATTTAAACCAAGTAATGATTAACATCACACTGCGTTCCAATGGTCAAGTAGTGGTAGATCAAGATGCGACCACGTGTGCTCGGCTAGATGTTAACGAGAGGGGAAAAGTGATTAAAATGATTTTAGACTAGAAATTGGATTGGAATTTACTGACCCCCCCCCCCCCCCCAAAAAAAATGTATTCACAATTGAGCTATAAAATAGCCTACTATTACTTTTTTAAAATCTTCTGATTTGAACCCACTAACCAGGGGTTGGCATCCAGCCCGGGGTTTCCAAGGCACATTCTCTAAAGAGCTGCCCGTCTTCCTGATCCTCTGCCAGCCAACGATTGATTGTGAATAGACAGTCAAATCCTGTATCAGCATGCTTCATTTGCACCTACAGGAAACAAAACAGCAGAAGCAAATCAACTTAAGAAGAAAATTAACAATGGAAAGCACAATGTTGTTCATATAGCCAGCTTACCTAGCAAACTTTCCATAACTCTAGTCTTCTGAAGTTACCAGCTTTTGTGATACTTAACTTGTGAAAACATTCAGAGCAAAAGCTAGAAGTGAAGTAGTAAATAAAATGATAACACAAAACCAAGTGAAAATGAATACGAAATTTGCTTCTGAAACAATGTAAAACAGAAGCAAATAAAATATTGTAGTAGGCTGACTTTACTCTTATAAAATATTACAAGCATTTTATACTTTTTTTGTGTTTATTTTCTCAATAAAGTTAAATAAAAAAAACCCATAAGGCCCTACTGCGGACAGCAAAAAGCAAAAAGACAGTTGCAACACTAATCTAAGTATTCAACGTAATCAATATAATGCAAATACTTTTTCGTCTAACTCACTCACCCAATCCACATGCCATGACGGGTCATTGTTCCGACCATCATGCTCCAGTCTGATCTTGGTTATCTCCCCTATATCGCCTATGTTCGCGTCAAACTCCGACTCTCTCCCCTGAGCAAACTGCGAGGATGAAGCCGAGCCATCTCCTAGTGGTATGGGGTGAGAGATGTCCTGGGTGCCATGCACTGTGAGGTACACTTGGGCTCGGGTATCAGAGCCGGGGAAATCAGAGGTTCTCACCGTGATTTTCCACTGCCCACCTGATAAGGATGTAGAAAACAAAGTAACTTTAGTTAGTTTTAGCAGAGGTTTTACTGCGTTCGCAACTGCATAAGGTCATATGAGCACCAGAAGATTAACTCATTCGCAACGTATTATTTTCGGCTTGTGAACAAATTTTTTTCGGGAAGGCGAAATGAGATGATGACTAGTGCGCAGTTCAAAGGTCTTTAGGGCAACAAATTCAAATAGATATTAACATATTACGCACCGAAATTTTCAGTATGATTTGTAGAATACATCTGTAATGTTTATTTGTGTATTTTTCAACTCTGGTTCCTGTAAGAGGCGATTATGCAACACAATTTTTCTTGGATGCGGATAAAATTTGAAAATAAAAAATTAATAATCTTCGGTGAAACTCAAAAAATACGTTTGCACCTAATCAAATGATACATCAAAATAACCATAAATGAATATAGAACTGGAAAATATTGACAAATTTGCAGTTATTTATATACATTCCATAAAATTTGCACATTTGGATCATGACATCCGATATTGAAAAAAAACAACAAAAATTTTATAATCTTGAAAAATGGACAAGATGCATTCACAAACATAAAAAAACACTCGTATCGTTTATGGAATTATTCAGAATTGTATTTGGAATAAACTTACACATGTCTTGAGTGGTACTTTTTGTGTAATTTCACCAACAAAAGTGATTTTTGAGAGAGAAAAAATAGTTTGACAATTTAGATCTAGATCTAAATCTAGCACTGAAAAATATGGATTTCTCTGTAACAGAGCAATGGAAATTTGAGCCCAATTGTATCAATATTCTAAAGAAGAGTCCTACATTTCTTTAGTGGGCAAAATAGTGATATAGATCTATTTTGTTGAGTAAAAGTACATCTAGTAATACTGGTGTCTGGGCTATAATTTGAGCATCGCGATAAAACAAAGTCGTATAAACTTCGAGATCGTGTTTCAAAACTGAATCAAAACTTCCGATTTTCGGTGGAACATTATATTATGACCTTTATTTTTACATGGATATGAGGACTGGAATAGATATAGGCCTATATTAGAATCTGAGCTAAAATTGAAGATCGGTTCTCGAGTCGCCGGGGGCGGCTTAGCGTACTGAAGGCACCTTAGCCGCGCCGCCCCCCCCCATGGCTTGGCGTAGCGAAAGAGTTAAAGGTGTTACAAGAGAGTAACAAACATAAAAAAGAAAAAGGGGAGATAAGGACGATAAATGTTTGATAGGAAAGAAGAAGCAAACACACCAGAGCACCCGCCAACCACCCACAAAGTAACTTTAACTCCTTCACTACCGCGAGCAGTGTTTCACAGCTCTCCATTTTCTGCTTCAAAACCAGCCCTCCTTTCGTAGAAATCGAAACTGGAATCTCAGGCCTAAGAATGATCATTTTTAGCAAAAGGTTGAGATAGGTCATTAGTTCCCCTTTGTTTTCATACATGATACATGGCTTATACTGAAAATTGAACTCAAAATCTTTAATTCATCTGAAGGTACATAGAATCAGAAAGTACGTTACAGATAAGGTCCAGTCCAGGTGAGGAAGACCCCCTGGTAGCGAAAGAGTTGAGTTAGTAAGTATCATATTCCAACATAATAAATCACAAGAGTAAGTATCATATTCCAACTTAATCACTAGAGTAAGTATCATATTCCAACATAATTAATCACAAGTGCATTTCCAACAAGACATTACAAGGTAAAAGTTGTTCCTGCATCCGATCCGGACATTGGAGATTGCCTTATTAGTGAGACAATTTCCTGGGCCTTCGGGCATATTGTGGTGGGGTGGCCAGTTCCTTTCCATGCCGCCTTTGCCTCCCCAACTCGAAGTCAGGTACCATAACTGCTGGTTGGGCAGGAGGGGGCGAAAAAAATTTATGTCCAAACCAAGGCTCAAACCCGGACTTTCCTCTTCGGAGACGAGCCCACTAACCGCTCCACCACCGAACCCATTTTAAGGTAAGTGTTAATATTCTAACACTATTAACCATAAGCACCTTTATCACAGGACACAAAATATACAATGATACAGCACAAACAACAATTTTTGTTGTGACAGAACTGTGCCACTGATTTTTTTTTCTTAGAGTTTAGCAATGGGGAACACTAAATATTTGTATAATGATGATCTAAAAACACAACTTCAGAGAGGAAAAGCAAAATTTTGATTGTTGACAAGATAAGGTTCAGTTTTGTCTTTGCATTGCTAAAAATAAACACCAAAAAAATCAAAGCAATTCTATTATGAAACATTTCTTAAGTTTCTTTAAAAAAAAAAATGCTAAAATGGTATACAAAAGCAAAGGCAAAAGAGAACTCACCACATTCAGAAGGCACATCATGTGATACAGCGGTCTGAGGAAGCTCTGAAAAAAACCCCCATACAAATAGTCAAACTATGCCTTATATTATAGTTTTTGCGGGATTCACAATCCTGTTGAGTAAAGTTGTTCCCCCATCCGATCTGGACATTGAGGATTGCCTTCTTAGTGAGACAACTTCCTGGGCCTTCTGCATATTGTGATAGGGTAGCCAGTTCCTTTCCTTGCCGCCTTTACTTCCCCAACTCGAACTCAGGTACCCATTACTGGTACCAATTTATTACCACCAAATGAGAACCTATTGTAAACTCACATTTTCCTCCCTCTCTGCATCAAACTGTGGACAACGAACCAAATACTAAGAGAGATATTTGTTCACTTGATGACCTCAGTGCCTAAGTTACCATGATGAATAATTTTTTTTATTTTCAAGAAAAAATGTTGCAACAATTTGAGAAGCGCTGTATTTCACATTTTTATATACCCGTACCTTGCTGAAATATTTCATAGATTGTTTAATTGCTGAAAAGTATAGGGAAAACATCAAATTAATCTTTTACTTTCCAAATTTGATTTCAGGAGGAAACAACTTTATGACCAAAAGAATAAGTTGTACATTTCTGCTTTGTCTAAAATTTTGTCTAACAAAAGGCAACCCAGAGATAAATCTGCATTTTATTTCAATAAAAATTTGTCCGTTTGTAGAGAACAAAGTTTAGTATCATACCCATCAATCTCAGCATGCGTTCTGTCTTCCCATCATCCTCGCCTTCGTCCAGCCAGCGACCACAGGGAAACACAAAACTTTCCTTAGGAGCAGCAGATTCTCTGATGACAACATGTTCCAAGAACCAGCCTGAGCCAGGACCCTTCCCATCATGACTGACAACCACAGAGGACAGCTCTTTCAGGTCCACAGCTTCAACAGTGAAAGTGTCAGTCTGGATCGTCACAAACACAAATGTAAATAAAGTATTAATGAAGTAAATTATCTGTTTTATTTCCTTTTAACCCTATCCGTATGCCCTGGGGTCACTTTGTACTCCTGTGGTTCTATTCTTCACATGCTGGGGTGGGAATTGTAAGGTGAAAGATAAAGAAAAATTTGACAGAACCATTAAGAAAGCCAGCAAGATCTCTGGATATGATTTTAATAGAATGGATGAAATGTATAACACCACATGCATAAAAAAGATAAAAAGCATTTTAAACGACCCATCACACCCCTTTTCCACACAAATTGTAAGATCATGCAGCGGCAGATATGTACCTTCAAAAACAAAGAAAGAAAGATATAAAAGAAGTTTTTTACCATCTAGCATAAGGCCTTTGTCAGAATGAGCATAGATGTGTGTTGCTCTTAGAGTATGTATCTGTATATAACTCCAAAGGTCTAGTTTTTAAATTCCTGCATATGGTTGAATGATGCATTTGATGTAAATGTACATTTTGTCAGCTTTACTTTTCCTTTCATATTGAATTTTAATGAGAGTAATATATATAATTTAAATTTTTTATGCATACCTGCATGTGTTTACAGTCCTGTACAGCCAAGGAAAATTTCCCTCAGGGGTAATAAAGTACTATCTTACCTTATCTTATCTTATTTTAGAATAATTCGAGTACGAAGACCTCTTTGAAACTTTCAGTATTTCTCAAAAAATAATTTTGAGAGACTGTTATGCAAAGCGTACAGATTGGAATAATGAGTAAATTTTCTCTTTGGAAAGTGGTGGCACAGAGTTCCCTACATCATATGGATACGACAGTAAAACCCGATGTACGGATAGGGTTAAAAGACACACACAAAAAAAGTTTCATCCCCTTCTATACATGATGTAAGTCATCTTAAAAGAAAAGCCTGTGGTTCCCTGTGAGACAGGAGGCTGAAATTAAAAGCTTGAACTTTGACCTTCAGTCTGCAAATCACATCCAAAACCAACTATGCCACAGCAGCCAATAGTGCGAATTAATACAGATTCATAAAAAAACAGCCATTTTGCATCATAACTTCTAGCAACAAGGGATAAAATTTACTGATTAACCAATGGCTCCACGAAAACAAGGAGTGCAAAACACCAACTGAGCAGAAAGAACAACAAACTGTTGAAAAAATTTCTTTCAGAATTAATGTTTTAATTTCTTGGTAATGGTTTCTTACTGGCAACACATTTTCTGTGTCAAAGAACTTCAAATATAAAACGCAAACAAGTAACTCACCCCACCACGAATGAACTTCCTTTTCCCATTTTTCTTTGCTCTGTGTAAAATTCTGGCACCAGCATCACCATTGGAGCCAAATATGGTGAGGGATACAGTAGCATCAGTCTCTGCCGCCCAGTGGTCTCCAGTTGTCACTTGCACTTCATAGATTTTCACTGTGAGAAATCAACACAGAGCATACCGTCAGTGACCTTTTCACTTTTTTCCAAATATAAATGTGAAGTGTGCTGACAAAATGAGTTACTTCTCACAATCCACAAATGGAGATGTTGGCCAAAAATCGACATTGGGATCAAATTTGTAGATTTTCTATTGATGCCACATTCTTTAATTATAACACACCTTTTATTATTATATAGATTGTAAAAATTTCACCTATAAGCGTGATATCCCTATTTCTAAAGGGCTCAAATCCAAGAAGTAACTCATTTTGTCAGCATGCTTCACAAATAACAGATTTTTATTCAGTTTTAGTTAGTTTAGTAAGAGCGCAACTGTATAAGTTCTCAGCAGTAATACATTTAGTTTTAAAAACGAAGTTTGAAAACTTGCTTAACCCCAGCATTTTCTAAAATAAGTTGCTTGCCTTTTAGACACTTTAGTACCTGACAACTTAAACATAGTGACTGGTTAGGGGGCGCCACTGGTAGGTCCTGTTTCTTTACTTTTCCTCTGTTGTTTCTGTCTATCTTTCTTACTTTTTCCCAGAACTAAATGACCAATACTGGGTCGATGTACTTTTTACTCACACAAACAAACAAACAAAACCAAAATGGTCCACTCAACACATCAATCTTTCATGAGAAAATATAAATATACTTATAGAGAGATATTGCAGTGGGAGAAAACTCGTGGGGCGAGCAGACAGCAGGGGATCTTCAGAGGAAGAACCCCTCTCTAGCAAATGTTTTGGCCCTAATTTCCTAACAATCTAAGGGGGCCGGGCCACACTCAGGTCATGACTCCCAAGTGCTCTCCTGCTGTTTTTGTTAGTTTGTTTTCTGTTTTCTTTGCGCTGATCGGGCATTTCAACAAAATTCAAAAGTTAATTTCAACAAATACCATGAGAGAATCTTACCTGGCAAAAGTTCCTTGTCTGCAGCAACCAGTGGAAGCTCTCGAGACAGATCTCCATCTTCCATGTCTCTTGACATCCATCGATTAAAGGAAAACACATAGGTCTCATCTGTGCTTTTATCTTTCAGTTTCACCTGAAGGCATAAAAGCAAAGAGCACATGTCATTGACATACACATATATTATATTAAATTTCTGACAAACTTGTCTTTTCTTACAATCCAAGGAGTCATTAATACAAAATACACAATAACTAAGACAATTTCCTTCTAGTTTTCACTTTCACAAAGAGTGAAATCAAATTGAAGTTAATCCTGTCTTGGTTAAAAAAAAAGAAGACAGCAATTTTATTCTGTACATTAAAACCATGTGAGAAGGGAATTAAAAAAACCCAGCATGGTTCTGCATAAATTAGCATCACGGGTAAAACTTGTAAAGCACATGCCTTATGATTTCAGGCCATTTCCTTTCATGCGAAGAAGACAGAGAGAAAAATCTTCAAATGCAGCTTTTTCACAACAAGCTTAGATAATGAATTCACATCACTGACTGATACAAGCATAGATAAAGTATTTAGCACTTCTACTCTAATGTCCACAATAGGTTTAATAAGTTACAAATTCCTGCTCCATATCAGCTGCTTACTGTATACTACAATACATTTCCAATTGCAAATCAAAAGAACATTTGCCCTCACTTTTTTTTAGAAGAAAACTAAGTTATATAAAGGACTGAAAAACAGTACAAAGATAGTAACATAAATGTTATCAAAATATATTTACATCCTTTCCAGAATCTGATTTACAGTACTGTACACACATACAAACCATTCAATGCCGTACAAAACAAAACAGAATAGAACACAAATACATCTACTCTATTGCTTGGACTATTGTATCACCACTGCTATACATTCTTAAGAACCTGTTATCATTTCCAATTCCACAACTGGGACCTCTATTCTAAGTGTAAGAAAGTATCCAGAGATAAGTAAAAAGGTGAAAAGAGTGAAGTAAGTAAGTAAGTAACAGAGAAATTAAAAAAAAATTACAACATAGAACAAATGTGTCACAACGTGGGGGAATCAGGGGCTCGTCAATTTTTGGTCATATGGGGTTATTGGTGTCCCCTTAAAGCCTGTTCATTTGTCTTCCTTTTGGTGAAAAAAAATACCCATCTATGTTGAACAGCAGTCGAAAAATTAGCAATTGAAACAGGTCAGGGTCACCTGGTTTCAGAGGTAAATTTTGCGATTTCACCACGCTGCCTCATAAATAATTCCCAAATTCATACACTTGTATCAGGAAAAGTTAATTTCAAGAAGATTTACATCACTGTGCAACTGACCTCTTCCAAATGCCAAGCCCGCCAGTCTGGATTGTCGTCTCGAGAAACACGGATTTTGTAAATTTCTCCAATGTCACCAGCGGAAACCTGAAAAAACCCCCAAAAAACCCTCAATCTATGAATGCAGCACACTCCAGTTTCTGTAACCAGCTAAAACAATATCAAGAAAAATTGTGACATGAAAACTAGAAAACAATTTTTATGCTTTGGAAAAAATAGTTTTAAAGTGATCATACTTACGATGCAAAAAAATCATTATTACACCACAAAGAGAACACATTACAAATATTATTAGATTTAAACCAAACAGAATGATCTACCGGCCAACACTCGCTTAAAAAACAATTTTAAAAATTCTTTTGATGATGATAAAGTGCCATTTAAAAGAATCCCTTTACGTTTGTTAAATGAGTAAACAGAAATGCCTTTGACATAATAACGTCTTAATCTCACCTCAAACTCATCAGAATTTCCAGGCTCAAACAATCTGGCAGTACTGTTGGGTGCAAACAAGTTGATGTCCTCACTGCGACCCTTCTCGCCATAGATAACCAGGGTTGCTTTGCCTCCGTATGCCGGCTGAGAATCCTCAGCTGTTGTGATCCACATCGTATACTCTCCACCTGCAAACGCAGCAACAAATTCTAAATAGACAAAACTTTGAAAAGAAACCAACAACCCAAGAACATACTTCTCAAACCAAGCACATATTTTGGGTTTAATTTGCTCTTTCAAGACATTTCTCGATCTCTTTTCAATTTTTTGTGAAATTAAACTAAACACTTTTTATAAACGGATCTCCAATTTCCATTTTTCTCAGAATGACTGGTATTGCTCTACAGTTTATGAATGGATTAAAGAGAAGCATAGTGAAATCAAGCGTTCATCACAATAGGCCTGTCCACGTGGTTTTATGCACCCTGCATAATTTAGCAAAATTTGATCATTTTTTGCATAAATTCTGATTATTTTCCTCTATTATTCTTTGTTTAAATTAACAGAATCGCATAATTTCACATTTAAGGCCCCAGTTTGCATAATTTCACAATTTTTCTTGCATAAAATGACAGGGACAGGTAGGTCTAATGAAATCGAAGAAACCTGCATTTTCCCGCTCATTTGGACATTTTGATTGATTTTTCGTTTTTTGGCTCAACACCTTTTATGTCTATTCAAAAACACATTTCTATGTGAATTTTGCTGAAAAACATTAATCAAAAGCACAAACAAAATGTAATTTTGCAGCTTCCGAGGACTCTCAAGCTTTGGAAGTCATCTTACTTTGGTAGCCATTTTTTGAAGCTAATTTTACCTTTAAAACCAGGTGACCCCCACTCCCCCTTAATCATAAATATCTCGACTTCTATTCAAGATAAATGGGTATTTAAAAAAAATTGAAAGCAAAACAAAAGAATAAACTTTCAGATGATACCAATAACTCCACATGCCCAAAAATGATGAGCGTTTGATTTCACCGCGTCGTGACACATACTGTTTTAATTCAGTACTATCACAAGATCCTAAACAAGGCTCTTACTGGACTTGGCTTTTGGCTTAGGTCTTTGGCCAGGTCTGAGCTCTCTCTCCGTGCTCCCATCCTCATGTCCTGCATCAAGCCAGCTGGAAAAGTGAAGGGAAGTTAAGATTGAGTAATTTTGCAGAGGATAGATTAGGGCAATAGAAACACTGAAAAGTAGATGGAGCAAACTAATATTCATATATATGTGTGTCTCACAATGGCATTACTGAAAGTTTCAATAAGGCAAATTCAGTACATTTAAACTCCATGATGAAATGAAATTGCAGTTTTCCATTAGAAATCAGGAGACTGGGAACACAAGTAAAAAAATCTGGTAAAATTTTATAGCATTAGCAATACAATAAGATCATATAAGTGTCCAAGATTAGAGGTGTTGCAAGAGAGTAACAAAAAAAAAAAAAAGACAATAGAAGTTTGAGAGAAAGGAAGGAGCAAACCACATCAGAGCACCCGCCAACCACCCACGATCTCCATCTGCCTGATGGGATGTTGTATCCCTCTCAGCATGGGTTGGCCCTGACAGGCACGGTCAAAGAAGCCCATCCCCTAAATGATCTAAACTGTACTGATTGGGGGGGAGAATCATTGATAATGACAATCTTTTAACTCTTACTTGTCGCACGGAAAGAAAGTCTCCACTGGCAGGTCGGAAGAATTTTTCTCTGTTATCGCCACATAGGACAAGTACCAGCCATTCCCTGGGGTCCTGTCAGAGTGACCAATGGTGACCGATGTGATGTCACCGAGTGACACAGCTTCCAGGGTGAATCTGTCAATCTGGAAAGGGAAAGAAGAAACTAGTGTCGTTGTTGTGGCCACTGTCATCCCAGTTTGTTGAGATATTCACAGAATGTATGAATGATAATGGCATTTGCTTGACAGGGTGCAATGTTGTCTATCTCCCAAGGGACTGAGATGCGGAATGACTGAGGGACTTATCGTGACATCATGAATTTATGCCACAGGAGAGGATAATCTATAATTGCATACATGTGGAAGGTTGTTTTCTATAGATGAAAAAACTACTGAATGTAGAACCATGAAAAAATTACTGATGGTAGTTCACAGACCAAGCTAAATTTCTTTTCTTTTCAGTAAGTGCTTGCATTTGCCTAAACATTTTTTTAAAGAAAAAAAAATAGAAAACACTATTGGCAGTTTACGAGTTCCCCATTCTTCATTTTAATGCAGTGTTCAAGACATATTTCAAGACTTCCGTTCCCATGCTGTGCGCACTGAACCCACAATGAATTGACGATGAAGTCCATTCATTGAACGGGATACCCAGCTAGTATGACCATACATAAGAACTTTTTTCAGGTAAGGCTAAAGCTCAAGCTGATCCAACAGTTATGAACAGAATATTATGAATTGTTGATGTACCAAAAAAAATAAAAAAATCTTGCACACAGTATGCTCATCAAATGAAACTTCTATTGTAACAATGACAAAACCCATTTCTACACATCACTGTGACACATAGCTGTGCCTGAATATTTCCATCATACACTTACAGGAAACCCTTTTCATGTCAGTGTTTTCAATTTACTGCCACTAAATAGATTATTTACCTATCTGCATTTTCTTTTTATATGCCAAATTGAACTAGCAAAGTATTTTCCCTTCGCTATAAACATTTATAACGTGAAGACTGTTCTACAGTATGGTTCAGAGACATGGAGGCTCACAGCATCAGCAGCAAGGAAACTGCAGAGCTTCGTAAATGGAAGCCTACGAAGGATAGTGGGGATCAAGTGGTACGATCGAGTCACTAATGCTCAACTGTGGGAAAGAACAAGCCAAAGGCCAATAAAGGAAGACATACAGGTGAAGAAATGGAAATGGATTGGACACACTCTGAGGAGACCCACGACAAGCATCATTAGGCAGGCTTTAACATGGAACCCACAAGGAGAACGTAAGAAGGGAAGACCAAAGATGACATGGAGGCGAGCGGTACAAGCGGAAATTGAAAAAGCGGGGACATCACGGAAACAGAGAAAAGGATGCTCAGGACAGGCTTCACTGGAGTAATGCTGTTGATGACCTGTGCTCCACTGGGAGTTAAAAAGGGAGAGAGAGAGAGATAAACATTTATTATGTAGAGAGAATCAATAAGACATCATGCAACAAACATGAAATAACTGTTTGCATAAATGCAATTCACTTTCCCAAGGGAAAGTTATTAAAATGTCCTCCATTTTTTGCAGAGTGAAGCTTTTATATTTCTGGTAGTCAATAAACATTTCCTTTTTCTTTTTCTGTTCTGACATTTTTTTCCCCTATCAAAGTAAACCAAAAGAAAAACTTGAACAATATATGTGCACCATCACAACAAAACTAAAAGCAACAACAACAACAACAACAGGCTCCAGCTATAGGATCAATGAAGTGTTGAATACCTTTCCTTGAGAGAACATCTTTCCTTCCGTCTGTGTAACATACAACCTCCGCATCCCAGAATCTCCTCTTTGGCCCATCAAGTTAATGAAGACGGGCGCCTCAGTGTCTGCCCCTGGTATATCCCCGGTGTGAACCTCAATGCCATAGGTGACCACTGTAACGTTAGCAGATTAAGGTTTTTAAGCTCCAGTTGATCATTGTTCACATGACAACATACACTTTTTGCAATAGTCAGAATAGTTTGGTTTTAGTTAGAGTTTTACGGCACTTGCAACACAGTAAGGTCATATAAGTGCTGAAGATTAGAGGTGTTACAAGAGAGTAACATACATAAAAAAGAAGAAGGAGAGATAAAGACGATAGTTGTTTGATGGGAAAGAAGGAGCAAACCACACCAGAGCACCCGCCAACCACCCACAATAGTCAGAATAGGAAAAGAGCTCCTTTGCAAGGAAATAGAATACACACATTTCATCTTTCCATAATGACCATAAGTAAGTAAACAATTGGTCCCTTTTAAGCACAAAGGGGTTATCCCGAAAAATGCTGTTTTGAGAAAATCGAAGGTAAAGTTTTTGCCCCATGTTTAGTTTCTTAAAAAGACAAGGAGAGTTTTCTTTATAACCAAACAAATATACATACCAATGAAATCAAACTTCTCCTATAGATAGGGTAATGCTCACTTTTAGTGTAGATCAAGATTTCTGGAAACCCCCAAAATCTGGGTAAGCCCACTTGTCCTTAAAAGCGACCAATTGTACAATCATGAACTGGCACATCATAAGTCCAACTAGTATACACAGGTGTAAGTGATTGTGGACCAAAGTCCAAGTGGAGCGTTCTAAACACTTACAGTACCAAAAGCTCATATATAGTGAAAAACACTCAAGTACTGCATCAGTTTAGAATGCAGAAGCCCTGGTAGAATTTTCAAAAAATAAAAAAAAACCTTCACAGCCCAAGAAACACGCTTTAAAATTCACAGACACTCATCAACCATTAAGCTACCATATAGAGTGACTTCCTTTGGTATTTACTTCAGTTCAGTGAATCTGTTTGTTGTTTAATTATGTTTAGTGTCTAAAGTCACCGGCAGTAATGAGCGCAAACTACACCCTGGCAACTTAAATCGCCGACAGTGTTAAAAGTGTTAAGCATGGCACTTTACAGGGTGTTATACAGTTGAACCTGTGTAAGACGGAATCACAAGGGAGCCAGAAAAAAATTCCATCTTAGACATTTTCCATCTTAGACATGGGAATTTAGGGGGAGATGGGGAGGGGTTCAAAGGCCTAGTTGGTGGGATCAAGGATCGCTTGTCCGATCGGCAAGCTGAGGTCAAAACTTCACACCTCTCAATTGCTATCCTGTCTCATAAGGACATGCGTCAGTCTTACTTATCCATTTACCACCAGTGTTTGCCTTTCATAGGACCACAGTTTGACCTATTAAAAACAGATACGTTTGAACATCTCCTTTGCTTCCACCCTTAGCTCCACCAACCGGTGTAACAAGCACAGTCAACCAAAGCAACCCCTGACTGCCATCATGTGACAATGATTCGAGGAACTCTTTTCTCGGCTGGCCGTACCAGGGCAGCAGGCATTAGTCAATCTAATTTCACACCTCTGGCTTCTGGCTACCCAGGAAAGTTTCCGTAGTGGCTCGCTCGAGCTCTCTCACGGGCAGTTGTGAGACTTCGCACCCACACCACCCTGACCATCTGCATCGTTCACGGCTCATAAGATGGGGTAACATCTACCCCCAAATTGCACCCCTACTCCCCTTGCTCACCCAGCGGCATGGCCATGGTGTTAAGTTTAGAGCCGGCGGAACCAAACTTGCGAGTTTTGTTTCAAATTAGGGCTGAATCGGCAAAGCATTTTCCGTCTTAGACAGGTGAAACCCTTAGAAGGGAGCCGATTTTTCTTTTAGTTTCTGATTAGGACAGGTTTCCGTTTCATACAGGTAATTAAAGAGGAATATATCAAGTGGGGAACGGGGATATTCCGTTAAGACAGGTTTCCGTATTATACAGGTTTCTGTTATGGCAGATTTGACTGTATTCATACCTTCCTTTTCGCTCATGTTTCCAAACTGAGAAATTTATTCTCACTGCAATATACAACCTCCTTACCTGGCAAAGGCAGGCCATCTGGTCTAGTGACTGGCAATTCCCGCCAAACGTCACAGTCATCTTTCTGCCTCGACATCCAGCGGTCAACGTCAAATTGTAGTTCGTTCCCTGAGTTGACATCTTTTACGAGCAGCTGAAAGGACAACAGGAATAGGCATTCAGTTATGAAAGCTTAATAAAGCCATGAATATCATAGGTTGTTGCAAATTCCACTCAGTCTTGGAAACAATGTTTATGTCTGATTCTTGAGAGTCATTGCATGAAAGGGAGAATTTTCTTGAAATATGCTCGCTGTCTGCTCTAGGTCTGTACATGTACTGATTCATTCTTCATCATTGTGATTTTTATAGTCCAAATACATGGGATTTGAATGGCTCTTTTTTCTCCTGTAAAAACAGTTATATCTCAAATTCTGTTCCCATCTGCATTCTATGTGTGTGCCAAAGAGAGAAAGAGAGAGAGAGAGAGACAGAGTGAGTGATAGATAGACAAAGAAGGCACAGAAGTATGCAGAAAGAGGAGAGAGTGTGAAAGAGAGGCAGAAAGAAGAAAAAGGGAAAAGGAAAGCCAGAGAGACAGGATGAGAGAGAGAGAGAGGGAGAGAGAGAGGGAGGGGAGAGAGGGAGGAGAGAGAGGGAAAGAGGGGGAGAGAAAAAGAGAGAAAGGGATGGGAGAGAGAGAGGGAGGGGAGAGAAAGAGAGAGAGAGAGAGAGAGAGAGAGAGAGAGAGAGAGAGAGAGAGAGAGACAGACAGACAGACAGACAGAGAGAGAGAGAGAGAGGGGGGGAGAGAGAGACAGAGAGAGAGAGAGACAGAGACAGAAAAGGAAAGAGAGAGAAAGGGAAAGAGAGAGAAGGGAAAAGAGAGACACACACACATGCGCACACATAAAATACCTTATCAAGATGCCATTCATAGCCAAAGACTTCTTCCATCAGCCCAACACGCACTTTGTAAGGATGTCCAACGTCAGGTTCAATGTTGACCTAAGGATTTAGAAAAATTATTATTGTGTTAAAGAAATTCTTTGAAATTACATACTAAAAGAAGAAGAATGGTGTAACTAATTCACTTTTATTCAGTTTCTGCCTTAAAAGTTAACAATTATGACAAACTATATTTTTAGTCAGTATCTGCCAAGTTTGTATGGCTTACTTAAAAGAGGACAATATGCTTTTTAAACTATTTTTTTACTTTGAAATTGAACTTCTTGTGACTTGACTGCATGACACCTGCGTGCATTAATAGTTAAACAAAGCGAGCTTGACGGGATAACTTCGTGCTAACAAGGATAAGTATTAAACAGTCTGTATTAGTCATCAAAACGATGCCTTGTCAAGTCACTACAAAATAAAAATGTACTAAAAAAGAACAACAACCTATTTTCATTTTTGATAATGTGTACTTTACAAAACGATGTTTTATTTTCCCGATGTTTTCAATGCGTGATTCTTGCAGAGGAAACTTTATCTTCATATCGCTGTTCATGGTGACCTCAAACCCATCCTCCAGGGATTGCAAATACTTTTCATAGTTATATTGCTAGTTCATGCATGCATACAAGAGTTTAAGATTAACAGGAACGAACCCTTTTCTGACTTTTGTGCTCTTCTTCTGCCCCAAAATTCCTGTTTAAATTTTACCGATGTTTAATACTCGTACAACCTTTATTTCATCTGTGGTCCCAGGTTTGAAAAGGTCATCGTTGCCACTACCCAGCTGCACGGGTCCTGCTTTTCCATCTGAGCCATAGACATAGAGGACAACGGTGTCCTGCATGATCGCTCCACTTTGTGAACCAGTGCTCACTACAATGCTGGTGTTAGCTGGAACAGCAAACAGATGAAATTCTTACGGTTTTTCAGATTTACAAAGAGACTGAATTGTTGAGATTTTAGGTTGGAATTTACGGCATGTCAGTAAGATAATGGTCAAACTTCTACCACAAAAAATTAGGACAGTAGAAACACTGAAAAGACCTAGAAAAACACATCGACTCAAAACATCCAGCAACAACTTCCCAAAAAGAGTTTTTTTGGGGTTTTTTTTGGTCACTGAATTATAAGATGGCAGTGTTTTCAAAGCACTTAAAATGCATACTGTCATGAAACATTGTGACCCAGCTTTCTTTATAAAGCCCAGGTTCGTCCTTAAAAAAAAACCTCCAAAAAATTTTAAATGTCATCACTCCTTCGCAAAATATATTAATTCTTAAGAGTTCAATTTTTCTACTTGTTACTTTGATATAGCTGCACGAGGCTGGACAATAAATAACAGTTTTGCAATAGGTTTTTAAAAAAGGAGAAATAAGATTTAATTCTACACAAAAAAGGAGAGGAAAATAAGTAACATGCACAACTCATCAATCCTACACATCATCATCATATTGTATATCTATAAAAGCAGCAAAAACATCTTCTCATGTTATGTACATGAAAATAATACTTTCACTTTCCTACAGCCATTTTCTTCTTAACTTTATATCTGTAACATTACCTTCTTTCGTCTTTTCAATTGGAAGTTCTTCTGTAGACAAAAACAAATAAAAACAGTTATACATTTAAAAGCTATTCATAGGAACTAAACATACTAACAATGTGCTTGGAAACAGTAAACACTTGGAAACTTATTATAAAAACTGCTCTTACTTTTTATCAGTTCAACACTCTTTTAAAACATCTTTGACAAAATTTTTAAAAAAATTAATTAAATTTAATTGTTCTTACATTTGTTACACAGGAGCGCGTCAAATTGGACAAGGAAGCTTAAATGAAGATATTGGAAGTGTGCTCTTATAAGAATAGGAAATAATATAATTCACTTAAGTTTTCAAAGTCAAAATCAAGTTGTTGTTTTACGACAACATTATCATTTCTGGAGATTGAAGAGCAACAAATAAATGGCAGACAGCAAAGAATACCATGCAGTTTTCTTTCTTCAAAATAATCATCTTAATCATCTTTTTATAAATTATAAAACTCATAATACAAGAACAAATTCACAGACATAAAGGTGAAACTAATTGACTCAGAGGAAAAGATGAATTTTTCTCTATCACCAGATCAAGGGCAACAAATCAGATACAGCAAGAGTAAATCCAAGAATCTCATGGAATTTCTTCGGCATTTCTTCGTAACAGAGGACAAAAAATTATAAATTAAAAAATCTATACTATGAATATAAATAGTAATATTAATATAATAATATATAACATTTATATAGCGCATTTTCAAAAAAGTAGCTCAATGCGCTTTACATTGGAATACCCATTTTCAAAACCTTTCTTACTACTTCTTTTCTTCTCATGCAATATATATTTATGCATACACACACACACACATACACACACATACACACACACACACACATGCACGGACTATTTTCATCCAGACATAAGCACAGAACAACTGTAATAAAAAAATAAAGGTAAAAGCTTATGAAAGAAAAGCCTGTAGGAACAGGAAATGCTTAAGATGTCTTTTGAAGCTATCAAGTATTCTTGTTGTATATAATATAACTAAACCTTTCTTTTACTCAGTATAATCTTTCAGTGCCCTGTTCCAAATGTACTGACAGTTTGAAAGAGAGACATTGTACAATCTTCAGTGATACAGATCAAATGAAATTTTTAATGAACAACTCAGACTCAATGTTTTTCTGAAATTACACATGGCTAAACGGACAGATAGTTTCTTTTAAGGTCCCTAGGCCAACAGCTAAAAAACATTTGTAACCCCCTCCCCTCCCCCCAAAACAACAACAACAGACAAACAACCAACAGCAACAACAGCCCAAGAATTAAAAACCTGTAACAAGCAAAACAAATAATTTAAGTACGTCCTAGGCCTACAGCTATAAAATATTAGTACCCCCCCAAAAAAAACAACACAACCCAAAACAACAACAGCAAACAAACAACAACCAACAACAATAACCCAAGAACAAAAAACCTGTAACAAGCAAAACAAAAATTTAAGTACTTAAAGATAATGTATAGATGTCTTGCACTTCAACAATTCACCTCAGTTAAAGAGAATTAGCCTTCAAGTATCAATACGTATGAATATACATGTAATACACGTGTATATGGTGCACATTGTGTATTGGAAGTATAAAACATTGTGTGCTTATATGTGCTCATTGTACTTCAGACTGAAAAAAGAAATGGAATAAAAAGATAAAAAGGGAGGAAAAAAAAAAGAAGAAGACATATAAACTGAAATGAAAGAGGAAAAGAGAGAAGGGGGGGGGCGGAGTGAGAGAGAGAGAGGGAGAGAGAGAGAGAGAGAGAGAGAGAGAGAGAGAGAGAGAGAGAGAGAGAGAGAGAGAGAGAGAGAGAGAGAGAGAGAGAGGGAAAGGGGGGGGGGGTAAATATAAAGGTAGGACAGATTTCAAAATGCCTTTGATATTTTTATTTTTGATTCAAGCATTAAAAAACCCAAAGCAAACAGCAGGAACAATTGGAAACAGAAAGATTTTATATTTTTATATTATGTTATAACACATAATACATGTATATGAAAAAGTGTACGGTATGAGTTATTAAGAAATCTATAGGATAGTTGATTCATGAAACTTTGATAATGAATAACATTATCACATTGATACAACTTTTGTTTACCAGGCTGCAAAAAATAAAAAAATTCAGCAACTCATTTGTTGCAGGCCTGAACATGTGTCGCAGTGTTACATACTATGTTCTGTCAAAATTAATGGAGGATTTCTTAAAACTTGAAATAGTTCATTACTCAGAGATCAGATGGGTTTTTTAGAATCTTTCATCAGTTCTTCAACAACCAAATATTAATATATGTGTAGCTCAGAAATTCAAAATTCAATATCCAAATACAGAAAAAGCATATTAAGCCACGTTTTTTACAACATAGCTTCAGAGAAACGAACTTGAGAATGTCTGTAAAAGAATAAAGACTGCATGAATAATATTATAATAGATAATATTACAGTGCTGGAAACAAAACAAAACAAAAAAAAAAAAAAAGAAAAGAAAAGTCATTAAAGTGTAAAAGACAACTTGTTAACAACAGACAGTGTTGCCATAGCAAAGCCCAGGGTGACCGTCAGTGTGAGGAGATTGTACTTTCAACCTTGCACCTCTCACCATCATCAGACATTACAGCTTCATCAGCATCCTCCTCTTCCTCCTGCACCTCTTCCGCTTCTGTCACACCGTCGCCAGTTTCATCTATTTCCTCTACGGTCTCGTCATCAACTGTATCTACTGTATTGGCTGTATGTGGGGAGTCGGGTATATCTTCTACAACCGGTTTTTCCTCTTCTTCTTCCTCTGCTGCCACTTCCTGCATGATCTTCTCCTCCTCAGACTCAAAAGCTATGGTGTCATCAGACTTGACAGAGACTGGCGTTCCGATAGGAGGCAGCACCGGGTGGTTGGATAGTTCCCTAACTGCATGACATATAGTTGTGTCCATTCATAGACCAAAAAATCTTTTGTTTTCACAGGCCTTACTTTCCTTAGCTTAAATCAAACAGTGCAAGTATATAACCAAGGAACACTTATACATTCAAACAACATTTATTATATTAGTAAAGCTAAAAAACAATGCTAAATCTACAACATTAAATTAGTGTAAATTGAAATAGAAGTACAACATGCTAATCTGGTAAAAATTATAGTGCTCTAAGCTTTTAACAAGAATGAAGCTACAGACAAGATAAATGGTTGGCTTATGTAGCCTCGGGTGAGACCATTTGTGACAGTAGAAGGTGCATGCAAGTACAACAAGAAGATAGAGCAGAGCAGGTAAAGCATTAAAAAAGACTGCCACCATACTTCAAATTTTGCACTGAAAAACAGAACAGTAAGCGAATAGTTTTAATATGGTCACAACATTAAATACCACACATATCACTTGAACAAAAACTGTTTAAAACAGAAATGACAATAGACATTAGTTATTTGTTTATTTCTTAGGAGCTTTGCTGGCTGCTACAATGAACGATGAAGAAAAATGTGTCTAACCAACTTTAAAATCCTGGAGACAACTGGTCACATGGTGAGTTTTAGCACATGCAGCTTATTTATTGTTGGCTTCCATAACTTTACATATATATACATGCTCACAACACCCTAGCAATACTGTTGATAAATACATTGTTAGGTCCAAGCTAAAAAAAGCAGCAAATTTCAATTAACCATATTATACTGAAGGTGTTCAGTACAAAATAACTGAATTAGGTGCTAGACTACAGTGTGACCCGCTAGGGTAAGCATGCTTTTGTTCAGATAAAGAGACTCACCAGGAGAAATCTTGGTGGGGGCTGGTTCTGAAAACAAAATAAAGATTCACATTAATCTCGTACCCAATTGGTTAGTGCAACAGCTGCGTTTGGCCATCGGCAATACAGTAGAAAGAACATGTCAAGAAATAGTGCTCATCCCCTAGGCTTTGTGCTAGAATCTAATTGTAAAACCTTTTGCACCAACCACAAATGAGGAAGTACCAGTTGTTGAAACACATAGTGGTGTCTCATTCATAGAGTTCTTGCATTTGGCTCACAACTCCAAATCAACCTTGAAGGAATGACCATCATCATCAATAATTCATTTATAGAGGCACCAGCTATCCATGTCCTGCTGCAGTTTTAGCCCATGGAAGGCATGATATGACCTCACAAGGACAGCTTGATGATGTCATTTTCTCCATTTTTTTGGAAGCTAAAAAAACCCATAAATGGTACTGGCATATCCAAAAGAATGCAGTTAATAAGTGTGTCTAAAAGGGGTGGTATGTAGTTGCCTATTCCTTCTTATCAATGGCTCATCAGACTTTCAAGTAACGCAGTTGTTCAGTCTGTTCATTCGAATTCACAATGTCCATCTTACAACAGACATACAGCTTAGCCCCTTGTTAGGCATTCAGTCCTCATCTTTTACAAGTTGCACCCCTGACAACTGCCAAGTACGCTTTGTGGCCTTGTGGTGAGGAAAACCTTTCCTACATGGAATCAACAGTCTTACCCGAGAGTCTGATGCCAGAACCACTCAAATAGGAAGCCTTTAAAAAGATTAACGTTTTGTGTAAAAAGTGTAAAACTTCACCATACTTTAGAAAAGCAGTCGCTCATCTTTATGTAAATGAGGGTCATTATATTATTCAAGCTCACAACCACAGATTTATTCAACAAAACAAATCCCTTTTTTTTTGTTTCATGGGAATCTCTTCAACTGTTTCTGAGTTAATTCAATTTCTGCGACTTTGTACATGGTGCATTTATTAGTTCACGTCAGTACTTTATATGGTCGCTTTTAAGGACAAGAGGGCTAACCCAGATTTCGGGGGTTTCCAGAAATCTTGACCTGCACCAAAAGTCATAGGCATTGCCCTACCTATAGGAGAGGTTTGGTTTCATTGGTGTGTATATTTCTTTGGTTATAGAGAAACTCTCCTGTCTTTAAAAGAAACTGAATAAGGAGTCAAAAACTTTCCCTTCCATTTTCTCAAAACAGCCTTTTTCGGGATAGCCCCTTGTGCTTAAAAGCGACTGTATAGCTTCACTTCCATTCTAAATATTTGTTGTTTCCCTGTCGGCTAAATAAGGACCTCTGGTGCTCATATGACCTTATGCAGTTGCGAACGCCGTAAAACCTCTACTAAAACAAACAAATGAGGACCTGTCACACTGCAAAGCAACCCAAAAATGTGTTTCACAGCCTGACCCCATGACTATGATAACTTAAGTCACTTAAATTTTTTTTTTTTTTACAGGAACCAAAACTATTCAGAAATACATTTGCTTTGATATATCATCCATATGATAAAGAAGAGAGGAGAAACATGCTACTTGTCTCTGAAGCTAATAGTACCACAAGTTAAGTCCAACTCTCCAATGACATTCTCCAATTATTTTTTTGCAATTTTTGGAAGGGGGAGAAAAGCAGCAGTGGGGAGATCAAATGTTTAAATTGGAAAAGCACTTGTTCATCCGGCATTTGGTTGAAATACACATATTGGCATAACATCTTTTGACATAAAACTGAGCATGTCCCTAGCTGTCCCCGTCGTTTTATGCAAGAAAACTTCTGAAATGACGCAAACTGAGCCGAAAAATATGAAATTATACGATTTTGTTAATTTTAGCAAAGAATGATAAAGGAAAATAATAAGAAATTATGCAAAAATGATCAAATTTTGCTAAATTATGTGGGGTGCATAAAACCACGGGGACAGCCCTAGAGACATTCAACAGTATGGCTCATTTTGAAAGCATGGCTTTCTTTTCCCCGATTCAATCTCTACATGCACTAGAGCAGTGTTTGCATATATAAATAGATATAAATATAAGGTATCCAGGTCTTTGGCATTAACATTCATCTTGGCATAATCAAAAAGACAAATCCCAAGATCGATGGCCACTCAAGTTATCACAATGTTAGTTTCTACTTGGTTTAAAAGATACCCTGTTTAGCGTCTTAAAACTAATTTTTGACCAAAGTCAGTCTTAATCATCTTCAGAATTTAGTGATATGTTGTGGTCTATAAGATACACCACAAAAATTGAGGTAGCCTACTTATCAGTATTTTTTTTAGAGAATGCCTTAGATTTTCTGAACCTAAAGCTCTTCCACTTAGTGGATTGATTGATTGATGATTGTGTGTGTGTGTGTGTGTGTGTGTGTGTGTGTGTGTGTGTGTGTGTGTGTGTGTGTGTGTGAGTGTGTGTGTGTGTGTGTGAATCTTCAGAATCTAGTGATATATAGTGGTCCATAAGATACACCACAAAAATTGAGGTACTTATCAGTATTTTTTTAGAGAATGCCTTAGATTTTCTGAACCTAAAGCTCTTCCACTTGGTGGATTGATTGATTGATTGATTGTGTGTGTGTGTGTGCGTGTGTGTGTGTGTGTGAGTGTGTGTGTGTGTGTGTGTGTGTGTGTGTGTGTGTGTGTGAGGGAGGGCAGGGGGTGGGGGGTGGGGGTGCAATGGTACTGTTTTTTTTCTTTTCAAGTCCAGTGTTTTGCTTCTTGCTTCTGAATCCTTCTGAAGACGGAACCATTTAAAAATCTATATATATGCCTTGCTTCAGTCTTTGCCACAATTGCAATTATTTCAACGTTAATCTAAACACAATAGAGAGGCATACAGTTTGGACAATTTACAGTTAACTTATTATACCAGCACCTCTTTCTTTTTATGTAGCTGTTTTGACACCCCCATTGACACAATTTAGATCATTTAGGAGGTGGGCTTCAGACCTTGCTTGTCAGGGCCAATCTGGGCTGATAGGAATACAACATCTGAGCAGAGAAACCTAGATACTCTATAAAAATTTGCACCACTTCGGAATTGAACCCTGGTCTCCTGCGTGCGACAGCGAGGTGCCAACGGCTACAAAACTAGCGCCGTTTATCCCTCTCTCAAGTAATACATTAGGAACTGAGTTAATGTAATATGATCACCACTATCCTGGTACACTTGAACAGCACGCAGTTCTCACAGTGAAACAGGGAATATAAGTTTCAGCATCAAACAAATATTTCTACTTAAGTTGTGTGTGTTCTTTTTGTGTCAATGGGGCGCAAAACACCTACAATCTTTACAAAAAAAATTGTATTCTTTAAAACAGTGATCAAGTAAAAACAGTTCATTTACTACGCATATTTTTTCTTTAGCTCATAAAAACTTCTTTGAATTGATTTGCACGCACAAAGTTATATACTTTCAAAGCATTTCAGTGATTAATATTCCTTTCTTTGACTTTTAACCTGAAAATATACACAAGAAATTGATCTGTGATCAGACCATACTCACAATGATCTACTCTCGAAGGACAAAAAACCCAGAAAGACCATTTTCTTAGGAATAACTTTATTAGTTTGTGCCACACACAAAAATAACCTTTAAAAACAAAACTGCAAATCCTATGTATATGCGTAGTAAAAGACTATTTCTACTTTTATAGTGCAAAAATATAAAGTAACAAACAGAGACAGTATGAAGTAAATGATAAAAAACAATCATGGCATTAACTTAAGCAAATAAACCGAGTCAGGAAAAAAATATCAAATTGAAGCACCACAAACAAAGGTAAAATAAAAATTATTTAAATCCATTAATTCTAGAGAATGGCAACAGTGACGACAAAACTCTTGTCATTCCTATGACCAAAATCATTGCTCACATCTCTAAATTAAAATCCATCTTCTTCAACCTACACAGAGATTCTCAATGTTTAAATCAGATCCTTCTGAAAGAGAAAAAAAGCGCAGTCCAGCTGTGCTGAAGTTTTGACATTCGATCCAGCTCCATTTCTTACTTACCGTCTTGTTCAATGAATAAAATCCGAGTTAATCTTTTCCGTAAATTTTTTTTTTTTTTGGGGGGGGGGGTTGTATTAACAAATAAACTAACAGCAGGACAGAAAAAGGTATATCTCTACACCCCTATTCTTGGCCCAGCATTAAGGAACATCTGTTACTTCTGTGCATTGCAACTACCCTTCCTCCTTCCTTCTTTGCAACTACCCTTTCTCCTTCCTCCTTTTCCTCCCTAACCAGCAGGTCCTTCTACATGTGTCTAGCAAAATAACATAATAAAACAGAAAAACTACAGCCAAAATGAAGAGAAACATTGACTTTCGTAACTGTCCAAACAAAATGATTAAGATACGATGATCTTTATGATGAAAAAGATGAGAGAGTACGGAATAAATACAGTGTATAAATACAAGTTGAATACAAAATAAATTGTTGGGCTATCTGCAACAGAAAAAAATGCCCAACCCTGATTCCCTCTCAAAGCAGCACCATAAGGCATCTATCAGTACAGAGGGATTTCCTTCATCAGGTGAAAGGCAAATTCATTGTCATGTTGTTCTCACCATTTTTAAGATGCAGTGTTATGTGTAAAAAGTTAGCACCACAACAATTAGTATATCAAACCTTAGCTTTGTTTTAATGTTATACAAATCTATGACAGAAGGTAATTTAAACTGATTCATAAGCAATAATTACTCAGTTTGCTGGTTATGCCAAACATATCTCATCGGGGTCCTAATTGTAAATTAGTTAAAAACAATGTACTTGATTAATCTGTTCACTTAGATCTTCCAAGCATTCTAAGTATCATAGGAAACATAACTTACACAACCCTAAACTTGTAGGAATGTCCTTATTGGCTCTGCTTTGTTCTACACCAAACCTATACGAGAAGGCTTTCATATAAAGCTGTTTATAATATGTGATGTATATTATGATACATAATCACACATCATCTGATCAAGACGGAACTGGGGCAAGGTAAAGAAAATTTGTTTTACTTGGCGGAGTTGGACTAAATTTATCCATAAAACACACTGCTTGTTAAAAAGAACAAACTGTCAAAGCAAGAAAAGGCAAAATGATCTTATCAGAATCATCAGGTCTTATAAATTTAAAAACAATTAAAGCTTGTTTTATTCTGTCAAATAGGATTCTGTAGATAATATTTGTATACAGTACTTGAAGGCTGGCAGATATTTTGGCAAGACCAGAGAAGTGTTCCACACAAACACATACATTCAAAGTAATGTATGCACAGTAAATACAATGATATGCTGATGTTAGTGTAGACCAACATGAAGTTTTGTTATGTCACAGCAAACAAAGTTCAGTGGGTATGTAGGCTTGTCTCCAGCAGTGTACATAATCACAGACTTTTTGCATTAACAACATCAATCGTACAGAAAATAAATCTCCATATTCAATTAAGAGGACATTAAACAGCAGTTCTTTCTATTGGACGAAATGGACAGTTTGATTTTGTCAGCATGTTTGTCCAGATTATGGAATGTGAAATATGAGAACCCTTGGAGCTTTAATTAGCTAGAGACTCTAGTTTGAACCTCAAACTGAACATCAATAATTTAGATATAAAGTATGTATTCTTAAACTACATTTTAAATCATAATTTAAACTATATGAAAGATACATTGCATACATTTGATTGTTGTGTTTTAAAAAAATGAAGTAAAGATATGACTGGCACAAAACAGAGTACAGCACAGCATGCAATTTTTAGAGCATTCGGAATAGCATGAATAGACCAAAAGGAAGCCAGCATACAGAGAATTAAGAACCAACAACACCCCAGTTTGGAGCTAGTCATGCAGCTAGGGTTGGGAATATAAATGAAACGCAAAAGGAAATACCTTTTATGTATAAAAAATTGTTCTTTCTTTTTAATTATTAGAAAATAATTACAAACTGAGATGTGATGCCCCCTTGGTAGAAATAATAAGTTGTTCCATTTGTATCCAAGTTATGTGTAGAAAGAGATAATTGAGGCTATAATTTTGTTTAAAAAAATCATATTTTGTTTAAAAAAATCATAATGATGTGTTGGTACCAGGTTCATGCCATAATTAAGTTGTCATATTTTGTAACATGTAAGAGTTGAAATAAAGATATTTTACCAAATGTGGCATGCGCCATTTTGTGCTAACTCGTCAAAGTACAGCCTACTGTCAATGCTTGGTAATTTTCAATAACTTTGTAAGAAAAGTTAGGGCAGGCCATTTAGATGAAATCATTTGGTTTGCTGGAAACTGACAGTTTTTTGTCCCTACCACACTTTGGTGTATATTGCCAGAGCTGCTAGTAAGCTAGTAAATTGAAATGCTCATACAACTGACAGCAGTTTGACAAAAAATCATCCTCATTCCTCTAAACATGATCTTTTCTGATTTAGTTTCTTTCCTAAAGCGATAAAGTCTTACTCCAGGACAAAGATTTCAGGTGGAAAAGGAACTAAAACGAGATAGAAAAGAAGCTATCAGATGCCTGAACAAAGTCACGAACAATGCTAGATCTGAAGGCTGACTCCAGTGGACTCAGGGCAGTCTCGATATTCAAAAAATATTGTATTTCATACCTGTTTCCCAAATACAATTGTTCTCAAGAGAATGCTTTTATGATCATAAGAGAGAGAGACTTAATTGCGAAATGAAACTGGTACACCAAAACGGAAGCCTGTATGTAAACAAAATTCCTTTGGACCAGACAAGCATGTTTATTTTTTGTATTTATGAGGCAGTAATATCTTGCAAAATTATTTCTATCAATAGTGGTCGCAGCTAAGCAAGCTAAGTATTCTTTCGTCTTTGCTAAGGAGCTCTGGCACCAAATGAGGGAGCTGTCTCATCGCATCCTGCTGCCTGAATCTGTCTTCCTGGGAGTATGCATGCCTTCTAAAAGAAATGAATCACAATGGACATGCAGGGGTTAATAATCATCATGCTTCGTGCAGACACACATGCGCTCAAACTCATCATAAAATAGTAGTAACACACACAGTACATGACAAAAGTTTGAAAAATTTGTGCAGGCACCAAACAAACATGCAAGGATGTGCTCATTCTCTTTTTGACCACTCAGTGCTTATTGGATCAAGTGCAAGGGAGGCGAACAGTGTGTGGGTGTGAGCACCTGAGAGTGCCTGTGAGTTAGTATAACAGTAAGTGCGTGCGCACCCATGTGTGTGTATAGTGTGAGTGTGTGTGTGTGTGTGTGTGTGTGTGTGTGTGTGAGTGTGTGTGTGTGTGTGTTAAGTGAGTAAGTGCACGTATAAGCATAAGCGTGTGACGACACATGAGAGAGAGAAATCAAGTACGTGAATATTTTTGCATGTACGTGTTATGGTCTGAAGATGTGCATAGGATACAAACAGGAACACAGGTTGTTCAGAGCAGTGGACAGAGTTGTGAACATTTCTTTTATTTGTTATGTTTGAGTTCATAGTGGATGCACATGTGTACTTGGATAGGTGCATGTGTACGTATGGGCATGCAAGCGTATATTCATGAGTTCTTGTCTGTGGCTATGCGAATGCATGTGTTCATGAGCAAACTGGAGAAATTGTGAATTGTAGGCATGCAAAAAGTGCAAAACTTGTGTCCCGACAAGAAAAACTACTGACTCCATTTCATCATTTTGTCTTTCTTTTTATACAAAAGCAGTATTATTTGTTAGAAAGAAAAGGCTTTTTATTTTAGAAAATCAAACTTGACTAATCTAGTATTACTGGCTCCATGAAATAAATATGAGGTAGTTTTGATGACACTAAAAATGGCTATTTTTGTTGCTGCTGATACTGATTAAGCAGCTTGAGAGCTTCCACCTGTCAGTTCAGTGTTATGTAGTGATATTTACAGTAAGACAGGTGCTGTCCTATTACATCTTGAAAGACGATACAGTGCATAAAAAAGAACCACCGGGAGACTAGTATGAATATTCCAAAAAATTAAACCCAGTCCCGTTAGAGCATTAAGTAATGTACCACGGGTAAAACACCCTTCTATTGTAAAGCAGATAACTCTAAACTCAAATTTCCTACCCCCCGGGCCGGTGCTACTGACTGAAGTGTCTTTAGGCCATTCCCAAAAGGGGGGACATTAACATCTCGAGTTCTTATGCACAGTAGAATTGTAATTGTAAATGGGCTGATTCATCAATGTCATGCTCATAACTGTGCCTGAACGGCAACAGGGAACTGCTGCTTTTTCTTTCCTAATCCTTATTATCGTCATTTCTCCTCTACTTTTGTTGTATGTTTGTAACACACTTGTGACCCGCCATTTCCGAGAGCCTTGATAGTCAAAGCAGACTTTGCGTCGTTGAAGCTAGAGAGGTGAGCAGAGTAAGTCTGATTCCCTGTAAGGATTTCTCTGTCGACATCCACCCCTTAGCGCTCATATGACCTTATGCAGTTGTGAGCGCTGTAAAAGCTCTACTAAAACAAAGCTCAAATTCCCCAGAGGCTGCTGGAGGTGGAATCTTTTTGAGCCTGGGCCGCAGCAAATATTCCACAAAAGAAAAAGGTTCAAAGATTTTTTTTTTTTCAAAGTTAGAACTGATCTAATCTTCTCAATCTTTACTAATAGTAGTTTGGAACATGAAGTGTTCTTCAGAACATAGGGCTTCTCTTTCTTTCCTACTCTTTGCTGCCAGAGGTCTGGTAGTGCTTACTCCTACTATTCTTATATAACTCAGCCACATTTGACTTGAGGTAGGGTAGCACTAACACTAAACTTTGATGACAAGTAGAAGCAGCAAAGTATTGTCCTGTGGGCCTCAACTGGTCTGCAGGCATGAGTTCGCAACCCGTTTTATAGAAACTTAATTACTATATATATCTTTCTTATTAGGATGCTTCAACTAAAAATTGGGTTATTAAAAGGGAGGTATCTGTCGTTATTATCACAAATCATCAAAAATGCGGCAAACAAAATGACAGGATCCATTGAAATAATGCTAGGAAGTCCCATTGTTAAGACACGCAAGCCTTTCACCCGCGAGGATACAAGATTATACATCAGTACTTCATCAGCCAGCTGTTTAGGTGTACTCAGCCCGAAATTGTGAAAATTTCCTTTTTCTTGCAGTGACTTAATCTGTAGCATCGGTTGCATGTGTTCAAGAAACATTTTCTCGAAATTCACGCTCTAAATATTGAAAAAAAATGATACACAACATAGCAACGATGTTTTAAAATAAGAAACAGTTTTTCCTCTTTCCTGAAAAATGTTGCTTTTCGGGCTTAGAACAGTTAAACAGCGTAGACAACAATTTTGCCCTTTAACCCTAAAGTCAAAACATTGTACAACTTCAAATCTACAGACAAAACATTCACATTCGTCATGCAATTGCAAACAGAGCATCGCATACCACAAAGAAATTTCAAAGAAGCAAAAAAGGCCCAACACCACGAGTGATAGTTTTGATGAATCAGTCACGGGTATAAAATAAAGCAACCATTTTCTAGAAAGTTTTATTACATAGCACCATGAAAAAGGAATCAGCCACAGCGGTGCACATTCACGGCAAAAAGGGTTAGAAGAGTCACATAAGAATCACGTACCCTGAACAAGGACGATTCTCTCCAGCTTTCTGTCTTCCATGCCAGAGTCAAACCATCTGTTCAAAAAACATAATTTGCCATTTATGATAAATAGTAATAAACAGAAACATATATGACAACAAAAGATGCAAGAAGAGAAAAAAACAACTATTGAACAATTTTTACTTTGCTTCACAAGCAGTTTAGGTAAAGAGAAAGCTTTCATGGTGTATTAATGTCACACCTATCTTGTGTTTCTTGTTAGATTTTTTTTTCTCCAAAAAGAACAGAGGTACATGACTGAAAAATTTTCACATGAAATTTATGTTTTATCTTACACTCATGTTCATTCTTTTCCATTCATGGAAACAAGCAAAACTTCAAATAAAACTGAACAAAGGTATTATAACATTACAGCCTAACCAGATAAGAATAGAACAGCTATGTAGATGCTGCTAAATGGCTAGATGAAAAAGATGATCTTTACCACAAAATAATTCGGATCATGTTTCAAAGGTACACTCTACAAATGACTTTTACTGTATCACATATGTGAGGCATCGTGGTGAAATTAAGCACTCGTCAAAATAAAGAAATCGAACAAAAAGGCATTTTTCCAACAGTTTGGCAATTTTATCGAAATTTTGTTTTTTGGCTAAACACCTTTTACATTCATATGAAAACACATTTCCATATAGATTTTACCGAAAAACCTTGTTTAAAAGCACAAAATATGTAATTTTCAATTTTCTAAGGACTCTTACGCAATTGAAATTACCAATCTTTGGAGGTCATTTTCTCATTAATTTTACTTTTGAAACCAGGTGACCTCATCTTCAATCGCAAATATCTCGACTTCTATTTGAGATAAACGGATATTTTTTTCCACCGAAAGCAAGGCAAATAAACAAGCTTTTAGATGACACCAATAACTCCATATGCCCAAAATTTTACGAGCGCCTGATTCCACTGCGTCGAGACACATGTGGGAACAAGACAACTCCTCCTGCTGTTACCTTCCACAGGGGAACACAAACTCCATGTTGGCAGACTTCCCCTCTCGGACAACAACCTTATCCAGGAACCATCCATCTCCGGGTCGCGTTTCTGAATGACCAATCTGGATTTTGCTAAGGCTGCCCAGGTGTACTGCCTCTAGCTCAAATGTGTCGGCCTGCCAGATGAGAAGAGAAGTATAAAGTCTTATGGAAAAGGAAATCCGGGTTACAAAGAAATAGATAGTAGTATTTTTCTAGCTAGCTTCAGTGTCCATGTCTGTTGCAGCTAATTTTTACAGGTTATGATGGAGACTGTAAGCAGACAGACTCTGGAATGGATCCTGAAGAGGAGGGGGGGGGGGCAGAGATGGACATGTTCCAACTGTAGTGACCCCAACACTGTGGACAAGGTGTGACAAGATGGAAGCTAATTCTTAATATGACTATCAGTGGTACATAGTTGTATTGTGAGCAAGTCATCTGGTTTATGCAGCCTCAGAGAGATTAGCATCCTACTTGAGTATAAACAATACTTCAAAAGCATTATGTCCATTTGTCTTTGAAGCCTATAAATGCCGAAAAAGGGGTGTGTGTGTGAGAGAGAGAGTGAGAGATAGAGGGAGAGAGATAAAGAGAGAGAGAGAGATAGAGAGATAGAGAGAGAGAGAGAGAGAGAGAGAGAGAGAGAGAGAGAGAGAGAGAGAGATAGAGGGAGAGAGATAGAGAAAGGAGAGAGAAAGAAAGAACCAGTGAAGAGTAAAAAAGTTTCCAACCCAATGTAATGAAATTCCTGATCACGACTGTATATGCGTAAAAAAGCAAATTTCCTGCTGTGAGGTGAATGTGTCATGATCATTTACTTTTCCAGATCTTTACATCAACACATACCTGACCACGTTGGAAGGGTGTGGGTCTGTTGGTCAGTCGCAGCCACCTCTTGCCACAGTCTCCAATGTCACCAAACATGTTGATGTAGATCTGCGCCTCAGTCTCAGAGCCAGGGTCCTTGCCAGTGTACACTGTCACAACGTACTTGACCACTGAGAGGAAAACACAGAGGAAACATTGTCATACAGTAAAGTTGTTCCCGCATCCGATCTGGACATTGGGTATTGCCTTGTTAGTGAGACAACTTTCGGGCCTTCGGCATATTGTGGTAGGGTGGCCAGTTCTTTTCCATGCTGTCTCTACTTCCGTAATTTGAAGTCAGGTACCCATTACTGCTGGGTGGGCAGGAGGGGGCGAAAAAAATCTGTGTCCGAACCGAGGCTCGAACACGGACTTTCCTCTTCGGAGACGAGCGCGCTAACAGCTCCGCCACCGCATCCTCTGTCATACAGTATGTCCCAAAATGAAGTGGACACTACTTTCACAGGGCTATATAAAATAATAGATGAGATAGGCAGAGAAATGAAGAGGTAAGAGCAGCTATCGGCATTGAGTCCTGCCTGCATTACATAGAAAGACAGAGAATAAAATGGTTTGGCCACCTGTTACGTATGTCACCTGGCCAACCAGCCTCGAAAGCCTACAACACCAAGCACTCAGGCTATAAAGGAGGAGGAAGGCCACGCAAAAGGTGTATCGAAGGTGTCAAGGAAACTCTGAGAAAACATAATATCACAACTGAAAGAGCTGCGGAGCTGGCCTACCATAGAAAACTGCATCTCCCCTCGACGCTTAACGGCAGCATAGGATGAAAAATTAAAGTAAAAGTAAGTAAGTATATACAATAAAACGACCATTTCTTAGAAAGTTTTGTTACATAGCACCACTGGGAAAGGATTCAGTCCCAGCAATGCACATTCACTGCAAAAAAGGGTTAGTTTTAGTTTTAATAAAAGTTTTAGGGCAGTTGCAACACAATAAGGTCGTATAAGTGCCGAAGATTAGAGGTGTTACAAAAGAGTAACAAATATAAAAAAGAAGAAGAGATCAGGACAATAGATGTTTGTTGATAGGAAAGAAGGAGCCAACCACCTACAGAAATGGTTAGAAGAGTCACATAAGAATCAAATACTCTGAACACAGACAATTCTCTTCAGTTTCTTGCATGCCGTTTTGAATGAAACCGGTTGTATGTAACATTGTCTTTGTCATGCACACATTTCCTTCCCTTCTAGGCTTCTTTGTTTACCAAAATGCTTTTATTCCAAGACATGCATTGCCCTAATTATCCATACATTTAATTATTTCAGGACACAAATTAGAGATCATAACATCACATTTACTTTCATATGTTGCGATGGAATGCAGCGCCTGCCTGTCTGAGTTCAAGCCAAGCACATTGATACAACGGTGGTCATTAAGTACAAAGGAAAAGGCAAGAAAGATACATAGAAACCTCAGATAGATAGTAATCAAATAGAATCTATCAATGATGTCCAAAACCTGCTCCCATTTTGTAGACAGGCAACAAAGTTTGCAGAGGGATGTGTAAGTCACTGGTCACTCCATCTTCAACATTGCAAACAAGAAAAGAGAAAGCCTCTCTAGGACATTGTATTTCACAGAATAGTCAAACCAAACATGCCTGCAAGCTCAGTTCATGCCTACATTATCATTGTAAATATTCAAGTAGCATAGTCTGCATAATTAAAACTATGATAGGTTTATAAAGATTTTGTTCCTTTCATTCAACAAGTTTCTCAAGTAATCAGACTGTTATAATCTAAACATATCATAATATTTACCCTTATCTAAGTGAAGAACATCCCAAAAACTAATGACTAGTTTGCAAATAATCCTTGACGATAGCAGCTTCTCTCATCCCCCTATTTCAGGGAATTTTGCATTTCTTTTTTCCTCATCCTCTGTGTTGTCACTTGTACATGAAAGAATATTCAACACTAACCTTTTGGTTGCCTGCGGAGATGCGTATACAGTTACAAGGGTTAGCCAAACATGTCTCTCTCTCTGTAGATCGTGTGATCTTTTCCTCTGTGGTGGGGCCCCGATGTGTTGGAATCTCACAACACAAGTACAGAAATAGACTCAGGCTCTGAACAACCATTCCTCCTTTCCTCACGCCAAAATCTCAGCAGGCCTCCTCTGCCTCGATACAGCTCTTCCCTCTACCCTGCTGTAATCCAGACTGAACTCATCTCACACTGACTCACTCATTCTCTCTGCTTTACACACTTACGTCAAACAATACAATAGGCAAGGCCTAACTTCCTGTTATTGACCAACACGCCAGATTGCCCAATAAACAGCCAAATAGACCATACTTAGTACGCACAAACATACTAGGGTGCTTTGTTCTCACCAGGCAAGCTTTCCTTCTCCTGTCCAACCCTCACGACAGGTAACTCTCTCATCAGATCTTGATCCTCTCTTTCTCTGGACAGCCAGCGATCGTAATTGAAAACAAGCTTTTCCTGTGATGAGGATGTACAAAAACATATAATACAAAATGTAGCCAAGTCATATTTTACAATAAAGTATGTGATCATGGTAACAGCTACATGGTGCCAAGGGCAGACTAGGATAACGGCCATTTTATTCCGAAAAAGTAAAAGGAGAAGGCCTATGCCTGAAAACCCATCAACCACTCACATGCAATATAAAAGATGATCTTAAAAAGGAAAAAAAAAAGACAGGAGAAAGAGTGATTGTTGAGCTGTAGCTCACAGACAGTTGGCATGAAAAAAGACTTATTTTCATCAGGAACATGCTGCGCCAGAGTACCCATCAAGCACATGAAAAAAAATTTGACTTTAAAAAAGTCCCGGAAAGACAAAAACTAAAAAAAGAGGTAGAAGTCAAGCTGCGGAGTCACAAAAGATAGGGACTAATAGCATCCACTCTCTGAACTCCTGGCTAAAGTAAAAAAAGTAGCTGTTAGTAGAGAGTCTGCATAATAATAAGTATATAGAATTAAGACTTACATACCACACATACACACACACACACACACATACACACACACACGCACACATATAACATACACACACATGTACAAATTCCCAGCTGTACAAGATACACATATTTACAGGTACACACACATATACACACACACAGATACACATATTCACAGGTGTTTGTTGTTTTAGTAAGTGTTTTACGGCACTTGCAACACAATAAGGTCATATAAGTGCCGAAGATTAGAGGTGTTATAAGAGAGTAACAAACACAAAAAAGAAGGAGGGGAGATAAAGACGATAGACATTTGATAGGAAAGAAGAAACAAACCACACCAGAGCACCCGCCAACCACCCACCTATTCACAGCTGCACAAACACACACACACACACACACACAGACACACACACACTCACACACACAAAAACACACATTCACAGACACACACATTGTTCATTGTTCATTTCACACCTGTGTGTTCATGTCTGTGAGCATCAGTTTCTGTACTTTCCAAGAGGGCTCTCTGTTCTGGCTACGAGGAATCAGTTCCAATCTCACTTTGTTGATCTTCCCAACAGTAGCCAGGTTCACCTGCAACAGAAATTACAGCTCAAATAATATTTTGTTTTAGTAATGTTTTAGTAATGTTTTAGTAAGGTTTTACGGCCCTCACAACTGCAAAAGGTCATACAAGCACCAGGGGTGGATGTCAACAGAGAAGTCCATACAGGGAATCAGACTTACTCTACTCACCTCTCTAGCCTCAACAGCACAAAGTAAATATCAAGGCACCCCGGGAATAGCAGTTCACAAGCGAGTGACAAACATGCAAAAGAATTAGAGGAAAAATGACGATAGTAAGGATTAGGAAAGAAAAAGCAGCAGTTTCCCCTATGTTGTTCCGGCACAGTATGAGCATGACAGTGATAAAATAGTCCATTTAAAATTCTACTGTGCATAAGAACATGTTAATATCTCTTTTAGAGAATGGCCTAAAGACACTTCAGTCAGTATAACTGCCCCGGGGGGAGGGGGGGGGGGGGTGAGAGGAATAATATTTAACATCTTGGAAGTTAAATAATCAGTAGAATTGTGCAGCATCAAGCAAAGTGTTGCACTTCTTGGTAACTTAATTAGCATAGATTTTAACACCTGTCCTGAGTACATTTCACCATCCATAAATGGACATTGTCGTAAGACACTAGTTCTGTTGACAAAAACAGCACTAAACAGTCGAAATGAAGTACAAGGAAAACATAATAGTTGACAAACAGGTTTATACAATAGAAATTTCATTGCGCAAAATACATGATTGTGAAATATCCCAACGAAACAACCCAAAAACAACACCCCCCCCCCCCAGAGAACACCAACAATCACCTTGAACTCATCCGAGTTGCCAGCCTTGAAAAGTGGTCCATTCTCTGTGGGTCCCTGCAGAATGATGGGCCCGGAGTTGCCCTTGTCCCCAAAGACGACCAAGGCCACTTTGCCCTGCTCCATGCTTTCTGTTGTACTCACCAGGACCCTGAAGTCTCCCTCTGGATATCACAAAATAGAGACATGGAAGTGAGTGAGAGGGGGGGAGGGGCAAAGAGAGAAGGAGAGAGAGAGAGAGAGAGAGAGAGAGAGAGAGAGAGAGAGAGAGAGAGAGAGAGAGAGAGAGAGAGCAGAAAAGGGTCAGAGAGAGGGGGAGGGGAGGGGCGAAGAGAGAGGGAGAGAGAGAGAGAGAGAGAGAGAGAGAGAGAGAGACACAGACACAGACAGAAAGAGAGAGAGAGAGAGAGAGAGAGAGAGAGAGAGAGACAGACAGACAGACAGACAGACAGACAGACAGACAGACAGACAGACAGAGACAGAGACAGAGACACAAACAGGAAGTGCACGTACAAATTGTAAAAAAATTCCAAGCTTTCAGAAACACCTAGAGCTATCAATCACTCCCATTTCATGTACTTTTTTTTTGTTTATCGCATTCCCCGTTCTCTAGTTTCGTTTTAGTTTTAGTTTAAGTTTTACGGCACTTGCAACACAATAAGGTCATATAAGTGCCGAAGATACGAGGTGTTACAGGAGAGAAACAAACACAAAACAGAAAGAGGAGAGATCAGGATGATAGATGTTCGATAGGAAAGAAAATGCAAACCCCACCAGAGCACCCGCCAACCAGCCACTCACGTACGAGTACAGGCGGGGAAAGAAGACAGAACTAGGAAAATCCCTACCCTCAATCTCTAGCTTGGCCGGCTGCTTCGAATCTGGAGACACACGCGACCTCGGGGTCTCCATGTAGCCTTCACCTTCAGAGATGGGGGTGAGCTTTTCTTCTGTCAGCTGTTGTTTCGAGATGCCAACTGGAGAGGTTTGTAAATGAAATTGTTAACCTTAGCCGTATGCCCTGGGGTGATTTTGTACCCCCGGGGTTGTATTCTTCACGATTTAGAATACTTCTAGTAGTACGAAGATCTCTTTGAAACTTTCAGTATTTCTCAAAAAATCATTTTGACAGACTGCTATGTAAGCGTATGAATCGGATTAACGTGTAAATTTCTTCTTTGGAAATGGTGGCACAGAGTTCCCCACGTCGAAGGGATACAATAGTAAAACATGACATACGGATAGGGTTAAATATTATGTTTTTTCAATGTCTATCCATTAGCATACACTAGTTTGCAGCTGAATTGAAAGCTGAAAGACGGAAGTAAATCAAAAATGAAAACGGGAAACATAAAAGAAGTACCGGGCAAGAGTTCTGAGTCACCAAAACCCTATCCGGTGTTGCATGCCCTTGGATGGATTAATTCATTTTGTACAACGTCTTAACTTTGAAGTCCAAGTAGCTCAACACATAGTGCTGAAGCACTAGTGCCCAGTACAGAAAGAGTTAAATGATTTCAAAAAGGAAAAGAAAGACTAAAAAGAAAATCTTTTAGTAAGTGTTTTACGGCACATGCAGCACAATAAGGTCATATAAGTGTCGAAGATTAGAGGTGTCACAAGAGAGTAACAAACACAAAAAAGAAGGAGGAGAGATCAAGACGATAGATGTATGATAGGAAAGAAGGAGCAAACAACACCAGAGCATCTGCCAACCACCCACTTTTTTAGTTTTAGTAAGTGTTTTACTGCACTGGCAACACAATAAGGTTGCCAACCACCCACTCACAAATTCTGCATGGAAGGATGACAAACTTATCCATTATATCACAGACACTGGTCTCCATTTTGCATGAAAAAATAACAACGAAACAAATCAAAACGAGGTGACATACACTCGACCACTTCAGGGAAGACGTGGATGTTGTTGGTGCCTGAGTCGATGGTGGGTCGCACCGTGCCGCGCGGGGTGAAGCCGACGTACATGCCGCGCTGCTTGTGTTGCTGCAGCGTGAAGTAGCCTTTGTCCTTGTGCTTCTCCACCAGGAAATGAGATTCCTCGTTGCGGCTTCCCTGATGGTACGGTAACGAAAAAAGAAAAAAGAATAATATGATTATTTCAACTTGTTTAGTTTTGGTTAGAGCATTTCTGCACTTGCAACACAATAAGGTCATATAAGTGCCAAAGATTAGTGGTGTTACAAGAGAGTAACAAACACAAAAAAGAAAGAGGGGTGATAAAGATGATAGAAGTTCAATACGAAAGAAGGAGCAAGCCACACCAGAACACCCACCAACCACCTGCTTTCAACTTGTTGTACATCATAAACATCATAAGCATAAAGTGCACATGTGTATGAGTGTCTGTGCCTGCAAACATGTATGTGTCTGTATTATTAAATATGAGCATACAAACGCAGTCCAAACCTCACTGCCTCAACATATACATATAACCAGTTTAATTTCTGAATACTGACGGTTTTTGTAGACAATTATCTATCAAACAAAGAAACAAAATTGCGAGAAAGTTATACGATACAACAACAGATGAAGAAGCATGACTTGGACTGATACTTAAATGAATTCTTAGAGTAACAACTTATAGCAGATTAATTTTAAAAGAATAATAATAGACAATAGATAGCATTTGTATAGCGCTAATTCCTGCTCAACAGTAAGCTCTATGCACTTTACAATCTGTACTATTACCCAAGCAGGCCTGGTAGCATTCTGAAACAATCGCAACTTCCTGGGAAGCATACAGTGCAAGCTTCCATTTATAGGCACTAGAACACAAACATACTGATAAGGTCTTTCGCTGTTTATGGCTGGTTACCCATTCATGATTAGGCCTGGTAGCATTCTGAAACAATCGCAACTTCCTGGGAAGCATACAGTGCAAGCTTCCATTTATAGGCACTAGAACACAAACATACTGACAAGGTCTTTCGCTGTTTATGGCTGGTTACCCATTCATGATTACGAGTCTGGTAGCCTAACCACTAGACTACCAACGCCAGAATACTTCAACTTCCAAGAAAGGCTTTGTTGAACTGGAGATATATTGATGGGTGGGTGTGAGACTCCCACAAATGCCAAATTGCAAAATGGTGCTTGTTGGATTTATGTGTCCAGCAATTGAAATGCTCCCATTAAAAAGTTTGACAATAACTTTGAAATAAAAGATCAAAAGGTGAGTGCCTGCTTTGTCAGTCAAGCAGCAGTGTTCTTCTTAGAGTGAAAATGAAAAATCACACATAATAGATATTGTATCTGATGCGCATGATAGAAAAGGTGTTTAAGGTTCAATTCAATTGAATGAAAACAATTTGCTGAGAAAATCAAGAAAAATGATGTGGAACCCAAAAAACCAGCAAGGCATGAGTACACAAAATGGAATATAAATAAGAAAAAATATGACCCATAGACCAAATCACCGAGTATGACTTATGACATACTGTGGTGTCCACCTAAGACCATTTGCCTCAGGAAGCAGGCTTTGACTGCTGCTTGGCAGAGGTGGTCGCTGCTAATCACAGGGTTGGGGGGAGGGGGGGGAGGAGGGGACGGGAGTTAAATTGCGAAGATAACTCCACCTGCTCATCCTTCATACACACACAAACATATAGTGTCCTAATCTAAGGGTGCAGTGATGTCGTGATGTCAGAAAGAAAGTGAAAACAAAGATAGTATTCAAGTATCTGCTGTAGTGTTGCACACTATGGCTAGGGAACCCCCCCCTCCCTTTTTACCCCCAGCTAGACAGGAGACTCTTGAAGTAAAGGTGGGGCTCCTGGCAAGAGGATGTAAACTGAGCTCATGTACTCTCAACCAACTGCATTTTTTGGCCTGATTGGTGTTGTGAGGAGGGAGAAGAACAAGAGAGGAGGGGTGCACACACACATTGAAATTGTAGGCCAATCTCTGCGTTCACAATGTTTTTGAATTGTCAAATAAAATTTTGGTGGACAATATATAGCAAAAAAAGGTTGCTTTCAGGGAAAAGGTTGCTATTTAGGGGGGGTTATTTATATAGAAAAATTCTATAACACTAGCTGCTATTAGGCGGATGCTGCTCTTATCTGGGTTGCTGTTAAGTGGACACCGCAGTATATGGGACTCTCCCACTTGACAGAGGAGCAAACGTAAGGGGCCTATCCATGAGAAAGGTTCTGTGTTTCGGCACTTTTTGTACAGATTACTTCTTTTAACATCAGGGTCCAGGACGAGCTAGCTTAAGCTTGAGAAAAAAAATTCAAAACAATAGTTCACACACCAGTGAATAAAACAAGATTAAACGCTTTTTTTTTCTTATCCTACTTCTTAAATAAAAGATACTCTGCCATCAAAGAATAATGATTCCACTCCAAGCATAAGGGGAAAAAAAAATTAATAAAGCCAAAATTTCTATTTCTACAAATATATAACAATCAAAGAAAAAGTCCAAACTTTTAAAAAAGAATACATCAACACACAATAAAAACCCTTCAAGTCTTTCAATAACACAGCAATGTTTCCATAACCTGATACAGGTAAGAAAGCCATTAATGCCAAACAAGAAAATAAAAGGCATGCTCAATTTGATATTCATAAACATACTTACAGCATGACAAGTAAATACTTTCCAAAGACAAACTGGAAAAACCATTTCCACATCGAGTTACGATAATATTGAATATAATAATTTCCACTTCGAGAAGAAAATAATTTTCTTGAAACTAAGATCCAGCTCAAAATTCAACAGAACACCTGCCATCTATTTGGGTAACTGTATTTTTACCTTTTACATGATGAAGCAAAATGGTGAAACAGTTGGCTCAAGGAACACCTGAAGCTGTTTGTATTTGATTGAATGTGGATAATTAATTAATTCTTTACCCTTTCATTTTTCCTTATACTTCATCTCCTGCAAATATGTTTTGGGTTAGACACGCCAACTATGGACACTTAATCTTATTTATGAACATAGATATGAATAAACTGTTGTGAGGCTTTAACACACTCTGCTTTTCAACCCAAAAGCTACAGAAACTAGCATTTTTAGTACACTAAATAACACTGAATAATTTAAGCACTTTGCCATATGGTGTGTTTGCTGTGTGGGCTTGCCACTAGCACACTCATGTTTCCAATACATTAGCGTATGCTTTAGTTCTTGAAGGGTCACACTGAGCTAGGGTCTGTTCTGGGTGGAAATGGGGAACAAAGGCACAGAGAACGGCTTATTTATAGAGACTCTCTCCTGAATTGAAACGTTCAGACCGTAAGGCTGGTTTTTTAATTGGAAGAGCAGAGACTTAGTGAAGAACATAAGAAGCCGAGAGAAACTAAAACCTGGTAAGAGTATTTTGAAAACGCATTGTGCATGAATATTTCCAACACTATAGTTTGTGCAGCAGATTTGCTTATCAAATACAGTTCTGCTTTGAGAGGTGCAGTAAGAAGAAATAGGGAGAAGTTCAGCTTTGAGAGGTGCAGTAAGAAGAAATAGGGAGAAGTTCAGCTTTGAGAGGTGCAGTAAGAAGAAATAGGGAGAAGTTCAGCTTTGAGAGGTGCAGTAAGAAGAAATAGGGAGAAGTTCAGCTTTGAGAGGTGCAGTAAGAAGAAGACCATCCTGAAAAATCAAAGGGTGGAGGGAAAAAAATAGATATCCTACTGCGACAGACTTCTATAATCTTCTCACCTTGTCCCTTGTCTTCCCCAACCCCAGCTAAAATGTAAGTGAAAACTATTTTTCACTTTGTATTCCGTTTCTTTGAAAAAGAGATTAAAACAAAAAAAGAACCTTCATTCTTAATTCCTCAAAAAGCCTGCACAATACCCATGAAGAGAACATCTCAAATTTGTTAGTACTTGATTTTTACAAGAGGCGATTTCATACAACCAAAAACACATACTCAGAGTCAAATCCATGCCTGTACTCTTGCTTGCCAATACATTATTAGGTGATATGACTAAACCAGAAAGAAGCTAACAAAAGAAAGAAGAGCAGAGAAAAAGAAAAGACATCTGTGCCTTAAATTTGTATTTTTAGCTCAAAACAGCTAGATAAAGGAAACCACTTTTCATTTGAAGGTGGGAAACCAACACTAGCTCGTACTGAGGTTTCTAGAAGTTAACTTAGAGTCAACAAACAGCAACTTTTAAAAATGACTGGAACTGATTTTGCTTAATTTCAACTTATCAAAGTTAAGAATAGTTTACTTGCAATGACATTGTGATAGGTAGACACGATGATAGGTAAATATGGCAATAGGTAGACATGGAGTTGACATTTCAAACACCTCTGAGTTTTACACAAGGTGTTTTCTACAAACAAAAAAAGTCTACGGGATCAGTGCACCACTATTCCCCAATACCATGACTGACTGAGAAAATCTATATATTCAGGATCTCTGCCATAAACTCAAAGGAGAAATCTTCACGTAAAGGAAAAAGCCGTAATGAGGTAACCACACAAGGCAAACTCCTCAAAGCCAAAAGGCAAAGCCAGTTTTCATTGTGCATCGCTGTACAGCAAAACTTCCGAAGTAGAAAAGCTGTACCATGTGCACATCCTAAAAAGGCAAGAATGTGGGGGGACAAATGGGAAGTGGGAGATTGGACAGTATGGAGGAAGGAAAAAGGGATGGCAGAGTTGAAGAGGCCAGATTTTCTCACCTCTTCATCATCGTCATCAAATGTACCCTGGGATACATAATATTAGATGGACCCGTTTCAAGAGATACTTTTGAAGGGTAGTAGCAGGCACGACTATATACCTGAGCTAACCATTATCTCTTTATCTCTAATTTTAATACATTAGCACTGAAAACACAATATTATTACTCTGGAATATCATTTAAGTTTGAATTTACAAATGCATTTTTTGAGTGAACAATATTATTGAGTGCATAAACAGAAATAGCATAAACAAGAGATAATTTTCAAAATTAAGCTAACAAGTTAACAAAACTCAAAATTAGAAATTAGATAAGATATATGAAAATTAAAGAGCGTAAATTACAGTCAGAGTTATTCCTCACAACATTGTAAGTCCTAGATATCAAGGAGCAACGTCAGACTACTGATGGCCCTTTGTATGGCACTGGTCATTTAATGTCTATCAAAAATCCACAGCCGTCCCCCCCCCCCTCTACATCTGAAAAGCTGGTGAAATTTTTCAAAGACAAAATAGAACAGACTTGGAAAATAATACAATTAAGGCTGAATTTAATAAACTCTTTACAAAATTAAACAAAAGGAGACTCAATCAAAAGCCCATTTGGCCACTATTGAGTCATTACCTGACAATAGAAAATATCTACTAACATGAAAAAAAAATGCTTTCATTTTTGCAACTATTACTACTACTAGTCTGAGGACGATGAACAATGACCATTATTTGACCATAAAAAGCATTTACATTCAATAAGGGTCAGGTCAACAAATATGCAAAAGTATATTTTTTTTAAAAGCAAAAGAAATCATAATTAAAAAAATATTTTCAAGAAGCTTCAATTTTCAAACTCTATTTCCAACAAAATTTGAATAAACAACAAGAATGAAGAAAATGATGTAAACAAAGTTTGTCCTACAAGTGTTCATATTAGTTAAGGGCGAACTTGGAGTAACATAACAATTAAAGCAACCAGTATCTGTTCCTCTTATAAGCGCATTTGAAATGACTAAACGTTTCTATAACTATAATGACAAAGGAAAAAGAAACTCACATTGCAGTCCAGCTTGCCCTCCTTCATCCGCAGGTAGAAACCTGGGTAGATCATACTCTCAAACATGCGGATCCCTCCATCGGCTACTTTGTGCACCCGGAAATGCGCCGCTTTGTTGCAGCGGCCGGTGGCGTACACGTTCTTGTCGTGGTCTACACTGACGGCCTGGGTGTTGGAAGTCTTCAGCATGATGATGCCTCTATGGCGCATGACACCCTGTGATCGAGTAACATGTGGTGTTAGTAGAATATTGTCACTGCTGTATGAAAATATTTCAAGTTTTTTTACTTCAATATATGATGTAAATGCCCTCATTTGACGTGACTAAACTTTGTGTATTGCTAATTGTATGTTTCTATTTCTTTTTTATTAGTTAGACTTTCAAAATTCACATACTACACGAGGGAATGTTTGTATTTGAAAAAAAAAAAGTTTCATTTTGTGCGGAGATGAAATCATGTTAGGATTTATCAGTTCCCATGTTAGAATCGATATGCAATAAAACTCTTGATGCAGAAAAGAGTCAGTTATAACCATGGTTCACAATATTTCATTTAACTTTGACAAATACAAAATATCAATTTTTTAAAGTTAAACAGTTACAAGTGAGGGCTCCTTAAATACCAGCTAGCTTCATCATTAAATGAAAAGCTTGTATCACCTTATCATGCACACATGATCATAGACACACTCGTGGGCATAGAGTGTACAAGAACAAAAACACACTGACGTAAAAACAAAAATCGTTGTGGTACCTTTGCATAAACATGGAACCTCTTGGCCGGGTCTTTGTCCAGGGTGGACCTGGAATCTCCCAGCTTGCCGTTCTCCTCCAGCGTGACGAACTGAAGAGGAGCCTTGGCACCTTCCAGCATCACCGTCCGGTCGGACTGCACGTGGAGGCGGAACTCACACTGCGGTCCACCTCGGCCCTTTTTGACAAAAATATTGTAAGTGTGTGGTGTGCGGACCTAATTTCTTAAGAATTAGAAATAATTTGGAAGCAATTCTGAGAAAGCTTTAAAACTATACGTCCACTGGCTTGGAATCCATCGATTTACAGTCGAATCTGTCGAAGACAACTTTCCATTTTTGTCAGGGAGAGAAGTGGTCATCTTAGATAGGTGATTCTTTTGGACAGCGACATTATAGTATAGAAAAACCTCAAGGGTTGGAAGGGAGTGGCATGTGGTTGTGTATACAGCTTATTGTCTTGGACAGGAGATTACTGAACAATACTTTCTGCACATATCACATATTTTAGCTTTCTTCTCATAGCACAGCAAGGCATCCAGAGAATTCATTTCCTTGATTTTTTTTCTCTCTGCATTTTTTTCTACTCAAAACAAGTGTTTGAGCCTAAAGCAGATAATCCATTCTAAGTCTTAAATCCATGTCATCAATTTACCCTTCTGGTGTAGATAAAGCATGTTTGTGTAGAGAAGGTCAAACATAAGCCCTCAAATCCATGTACACTTACAACATATTTTTTAATTTCAATCACTTTTGAAAAAAATATGTCTAGACACAATAAAACCTGCCTACCTGTCCAGTGATTTTGCCATGATCAATGGCCATGTGGTAGTTGCCATTGAGAAGACTGGTGAAGATTCGAACCATGGGTTTCTTGGAAGACACAATGAAGACAGCTGAGGAAATTTAAAACAAGTTGTTTCGTTTTAGTAGATGTTTTACGGCGCTCACAACAGCATATGATAAGGTCATATGAGCGCCAGAAGGTTAGAGATGTCACAAGAAAGTAACAAAAATAAAAAAGAAGGAGGGGAGATAAGAACGATAGATGTTTGATAGTAAAGAAGGAGCAAACCACACCAGAGCACCCGTCTACCACCCAAAACCACATCATATCTCTTGTCTAGACAATAAAAGGTGTCCAGTAACTCATTCAAAAAGATGTACGAATGTAAATATACATCCTTTTTAACCACAAATCTTCAAAATGCATAATTTCTTCATATTACAAAATCTAGAGTAATTACCCAACTATGAAAACAATGGTCTCAACACCCTGGATAAAAGGCAGCTCTAGAGTCCCTCCCCAACAAAAATTTAATAAATAGATTTTCACTTTTTAAGTTCGAAGTATTTAGACTTCAAATTCATCTTTTTTCTACCTCGATAACTGCTTTGAACAAAACAGTTCAAAGAAAAACTGAACAGGATTCCTCACCCCCCCCCCCCCTTACAGCTCCAGAAGCATTTCAGTTGCTAAGCAAAAGTGACTTTTTGAATTACAGCGAATGATCCTTGAAACAGCAGCAATATATCAATACAGTGATGGAACTTACATCCCGGGTCCTCCTCTTCTCCAAGGCCATCCACGGAGCCATCTCCTTTGATACGTAGACTCTTCCCTGTCAGCTTAGAGATAAACATCACTTGATTCTTGCTCTCAAACTTCCATTTCTCGAACTCCCACTGAAAGAAAAAGACAGATAAAATATGGGCAATAGAATTGATAAAATTCTCAACACAAAACGATTAACATGACATTGTTTACTCTATTAAACATCATTTAAAAAAATAGTAAATATCAAAATCATGAAATCTTACAGTGGTCTATAGCTTTATAAAAAAAATACATCAAAGCAGAGAACGGAGCAGATAGAGGCTTGTTGTGGCGAGGAATGGGGCACCAATGGACAAACATGGCTATGGTGACAGGTGACAGCAAGCCACCCATTACATTTCACTACAATAGACAAGTAGACAAGTGACATATTGACATGTTGTACTTATAAGAGAATAAACTTACGTTTCTCTTCTCCAGTATATCGTCCATATACTCATCTTGCACTTTCAGTTCCCTCACAATTTTTCCATCATCCTCACCTTCATCCAACCATCTGGAGAAGATTGAAATAGAAACTGAATAAAACTCCAATACACAGAAAAATTAAATAAGCTAGCAGCAAACGCAAAGACGACATAACTCACTATTTGCCAATTGCTCTTTCAAATAGATCAAATAAACATTGTGTGAATATTATTTAAAAACTGAAAGAACAACATCAAAAATGAAGTGGTGACAGGTAGATGGTAAGTATCAGATACCAGAAACATCACCAGAGTGGAGTGTGTACAGAGGTGGTGATAACAAAATGACCGTCATCCAGAATAATCAAGGATTGTTCGAGCAGAGATTCTTTAAAAAACAACAACAACAGGATGATGGGTAATGATCTACTGCACAAGACCATGGCAGAGAAATGTTGATGCTAGAAACATCACTGTCAGAAGCAAATGTGCTTTAACTCTTTAAACCCCATTGGGCACTGGTAGCGTCCGGCGGTAATAACCCTGTTCCCCATTCGATACCAGTGACAACTGTTTCTGCCTTTTAGAAGTTAGAGGCAAGATTTTGGGGTTTTAATGAGACATAGTATGCCCAGGTGGGAAAAACTCAGGGTCTAAAGAGTTATGTACGAGACCTTATTTAGGGAGAGTTGCAAAGTATTTCCTCACCTGCCACAGTAAAACTGATAGATCTCATGAGGCTTGGCATCAGGTTCCTGAATACTCAGCTTCTCCAGAAACCAGCCATCTCCTGTGTCATGATAAAGTCACAGACATAAACATAAATATACTCAAAGAAAAGGCACAATAATATAAGGACACAGAGACTTTTCAGTTTTATCTTAAAACACTTCGGCACAGCTACTGAAAGTACTAGCAACCTCAGCAGTCACAACTTTCAGCTTAAAGTTCATACATGCATTTATGTAAAGCGCCTACAGCTGTGTTTACACAGGAGTGGGCGCTATAGAAATGATCTTCATTATTATTATTATTTTTAAGTTACCTCTTCTGTTATCACATGAGTTTGTGGAAATGGCAATGCCTCTTACCATGAAAAAGAGAGGTGCTGCAGAAATCCACATTTCCATCCTAGCATAGACTTAAAATACGATTTTTAAAACAATGTTCTATAACGGCCATCGTTCTTTGCTCTCTGCAAGAATTTGGCTGAGAAGCATGCGCACAATGGGCGTCCAGATAAGGGCAAAACACTAGTTTTGCTACAGTTGAGTGCACACTGCACTGCATCTTCCCCCCCTTGCACTTCATCTGGCACCTCTGCATGTGGGGGTGGGGGGGGGGGCATATTGCAACCACAGAGCTCACGATCAGCTTACTGTCCTCTGCACATATTCACGCTTAACGAACTATGACAGGTCGGGGGGCATAGTTTTACTATGGGGGAGCAAAGAATAACAACTAATGTGCTACTGCTTGTCGTAAGAGGTGACTAAAGGTACGTAGGTCTGGTCTCCTGAAAAGTGCCAGTATGCAGAGGGCCAACTACCCAACCCTGTAAAAACTGAGTTACAAAAACACGAACAGAGTGTCCTATATCCTGATCCAGGATGAGAAAGGCAATGATGATGATGACTTCATCTGGCTCCAAATTAAGTCATCAGATGGTGTGCACCACAGTAAACAGGAATTACATCAGAGTGCACATCTTTCCCCTCTGCACTTCATTTTTCTCTAAACTGAGTCACATGGGGTGTTCCGTAATACACAGAAATTACATCAGTGAGCACAGTCTAGGATATCTATACATATTATATTTGTGAAAGTTCGTCACTTTGGCCCCCTAAAACTTCCCAACCACTGAACTTTCCAATTTGAGAAAATTAAGGTGGTTCAGAATCATTTAAAGGGAGCACAGTTATAATATGGAGTCTGAAGTCACTGTGGTTTAATTTTCAGTTTTTCATTAGTTTCGTTTAGATTTAATCTTGGGAAAGTTCGTCTCCTTAGACGCCATTGTAAACAAGTGAGGCTTCCGTTCACAAACAGTGCATATTGGTTCCATAATGACTTGACGATCGATTCTTTTGAGTCCATTCATCGAACGGGGTACCCAGCTTGTTTAAGATAAATCTATGGTGCCAGCATACCATAGCATCAAGTATGGCCATCTGGCCAGAGAAAACCAACAACTGCGTGTTCATCTGCAGAATCAAAGTGTCTGCATGCATCAGTGGCAGGAGTCCACATTGTATAAAGTCATAGTATAGAATTTCAACTTGGGCCTCTTGACTTAGTGAATTTTCTTGGCACCATAAACAAAAGAAGAGATTCGTTCCTTTTGAGTGGACACAATGTTTTCTACTAATTTTAACACCCCAGTCAAAATCAATTCTTTTCTCCAGTCAACAGAGGTAAAAAAATGAACATAATTTTTTACTATTTCTAAAAATCCATAATACAAATTCAGCTTATAACGAAAAATCCCACCCAAAGACTATGAGTATGAGTCAAAGAACAAGGTATAAAAAACTTATGTAAGCAGAGAACTATATAACATAAAAAAAGTATTAGAAACAGAATACATTAAATTCTGCCAATTCCCACCTGGCACAGTGCCGTCATGACCCACAATGACTCGCTTCAGGTGACCCAGAGACACAGCCTCAATTGTGAAGCGGTTCGTCTGTCCTTTGTTGAAGGCTCGCTCCTTGTCTGACACGTAGAGTTGGCGCACGCCAGAATCCCCACGGTCCCCATAGATGGTCAAATACACGTTGGCATCAGTGGCACCATTCCACAGGTCCCCAGTGACGACTGCCACCTCGTATTTGATAACTGTGGAATACAGGAATGTCAGAGGAATTTAACTCTCTACTTTTTAACTCTTTAAACCCTGAGTTTTTTCCATTGTTTCCCAGAGTTTTTTCTGCAGTCACCTACACATGGTGCACTATGTCTGATAATAACATCAAAAAACACAATCTGAACTTGCCGCCAACTTTTAAATGGCGGAAACTTAGATCAGGAATAGTTCCGAAAAGCAAGCAAAAACTAGCACTAAATGAAACGAAACAGTAGGCCTAGTTGTCACTAGTATCGAACGCTCCCAGCGTCCGAAGGGGTTTAAAGAGTTAAGAAACTAAAGTTGGCCCACTTACCTTTTTGCATTCTGCCAGAGTGATGATGCTACTTTTGATTTATGATTTTTTGTTTCACTCTATTTCAACATATGGGTTTACCATGCTTTTAATATTATACCAATTTCATTTGAGGCATATAAGGAAATAAAGAAATTGCAATTGGTAACATCAGTTCAAAATAAGAAAAATTGACACAGACCACCTCATAAATGTTAAGAATTTTTCAGGATCTACCTCAGAGCCTACATCCTTTTTTGGAGGGGAGAATATGGTTTTAGTTGACAAATGTGTTATTTCAAAGCATGGCACTCAGTCATACTGGAGAAGACATTGTAGAACCACAATACTGGAAGCGGGAAAAGACAAAATCTGAAACTGTTTGAAATGGAACTTGAAGTACGAGTCTTTGTCAAGTTCATAATCAGCTTTAGAAAACATCAGCATAAATAAAACATAAAAACTTACTGGGCAAGTGAGGCTCTCCTTTTCTTACAGCTGGTATCTCCCTGCAAATCTCATGATCATCTTCCTCTCGAGACAGCCATCTTCTACACGGGAAAACCAGTTTCTCATCCGTGTCCGTATCCACCATCCGGATCTGTGCATGGAGAGTACAAGTGCCAGTGAACTGTTAGTGTTTTACACAACACAATTTAGATAATTTAGGAGGCAGGCTGCTTTGACCCTGCCTGTCAAAGTCAATTCAGGCTCAGCAATATACAACATCACAGAAGGTAGACAAAATACTTTATAAAAGAATTCCCCACTAGAAAGTCGAATCCATTTCTACTGTATGAGACGGTGAAGAGCTGAACTGGAAAACCCCAGATGCTGTTAAATACAAATGAACACGATAACAATTATCTGAGAGTATAGTAAAAAATAGTGTTTTAAATAGAATAATTTATATGTAGAGCTTCTGTAAGTTTGAGTAATGGAGGGCGTACTGTCCCACATGGTCACACCTTGTCCTCAGTGTTGGGGTTACTACAATCGGAACATGTCCATCTCTGCTCTCCCCCCTCCCCATCTTCAGGATCCATCCCAGAGTCTGTCTGCTTACAGTCCCCATCATAATCTGGTTGGACATCTGTCGGACTGGTCCGCACAGGTGGCTGTGTTTCCCATCTCCTCTTTGACTTCAATCTACCTAGGGTATGGAATCAGTTATCTGCCCTATTCCTCCTCAAATTTTCCCCTATAGCAGTTAGCACGGTTGGTGGGTTCAGTGTCAAATTCCCTCCCACTTTTGCTTCTCCAGCCAGCTTGTCTGCTCTCTCTTTCTTGGTTACCCCTGCGTGGCCCGGGCAAAAGATCCAGGCCACTCTTTCCAGGCTGCTCTCCCTGATTGTAGCCTTTCAGTCCGCATACAGCATCCCTTTCTTTACCTTCTGTAGTGTGCTCATAGAGTCAGTAATAATTACTGCTCGCTGATGGTTTGTGTTCTTGATCCAGTGTAGAGCCTCACTTATGGCTTTTATCTCCATACACATACTGAATGTTGTCAATGCAGTTGATCCACTTTGCTCTTTCACAACTACCCCATCAACTCTGACACTGAAGGCCCAGCCTGATTTGACTCCTCTGTTGACTGATCCATACGTGAAGATCACAGCATCTCCATGTTCGCTATGCTCTTCTATCACGGTCTCAATTTCAGCGTTTGTAGCTCCAAATGGCCAGTTGCGACATTCTCTACCCAATGTTGCCTTCATATTTGTGTACTCTCCTAGCACATCTTCGACCACGACCCAATCCCTGCCTCTACTGATGTCTTGTATCTGGCAGCACTCGTTGATGGTGTTCGTGGCTTGAGTCATCCATTCTGTGCCCCTCTTAAGCCTTGACGTCATCTGCCGCCCCACTTTCTTATGTAGGGGGTTCGTCTCGTCTGCGCTGACTCGCAGAAAGGCTTGGACCTGTGCTAGTTTGTGCCTCTCGTCTGCACAAGGGAAGTCTAGGAAGTATCTCATTGCTTCAGTTGAGGTATCTCGTGTGCACCCCAGGATTGCCCTCATTCCTTCATTTTGTAACACCTCGAGTAGTTGCAGTTGCGCCTTTGATAGGGTCAAGAGTCTGAGCCCGTACTCTACGACAGAGAGTACCAGTGTCTGGTAGAGGATGACAAGGATTTCCTGGCTAATCTTAGCTCTGGCCATCATCTTAAGGGCTGTTAGGCTTTTTCTCGCCCTGGAGATTGTTCTCGAGATGTGATCTTTGCCAGAGAGGGTGCAATAAAACGTGATGTCCAAGTACTTCAGTGTGGGTTCCCTCTTCAGCGCTTAGCCTCCAATCGAGATACTTGGCATGTCATCGTGCACTGCATGTTTTTTCAGTGTACACCACAGAGCGCAGGCTTTGTCTGGGTGCAGTTTCCCGTTGTTCACTTCACACCACTGTTTGAGTCTGTTGAGTTCTTCCTGTACTCTTTCCGTTGTAACCTGACGGTCCTTGCCTTGCCTGTACACCAGCACATCATCAGCAAAACTGAGTATATGTCTGGGCCCTTCCAGCTGGTTGGATGTTATCCCTATTGTATAGACATTGAACAGAACTGGCGAGAGTGCAGGTCCCTGTGGCAAGCCTGGTGTGATCTCGATAGGTTGCGAAGCCTAGCAACCAAGGCGTAGTGCTACCTTTTGTTTGAGCAGCGCTGCCCCAATCCATTGCGCCAATTGTGGATCTACCCTCAGGTCGAGTAGAGTTCTCATGAGGGTGTTGTTCTGAACTCAGTTGTAGGCATCTTCCAGGTCAAGTGCTCCTACCAGAGTTTCTTCCCCCATTTCGAAGCCATCATATACGTCGGATGCAAGAGTGGCAGCATTCATCCATGTGATCTTTCCTCTTCTATAGCTGCCCAGTTCCAGCGGTAGGACGTTCTTTTCCTCTAGTTTTATTGCCAATCTGTGTGCCACTATTTTCTTCAGAAGCTTCCCGACAGGGAAGGCTCATTACAAAATTAAAAAGAAACAAGAAAATGTCATTAAAAAACAAAACAACAACAGGGAATAAAGGAATTAATTTTATTACTCTGCAGTACAACATCAAATGTTCATAAACAAATCGGCATAACATATTATTTATGATAAAGAAAAAGGAGATTTCAATAAGAAAAAGAACAAACAATTAAATTAATCTAAAGCTAAAGACAAATTACCTCATCACAGAGCCAGCCTGGAAATTCTCCTGTATTGTCGTGAGAAATTCTGATTTTGTAAATTTCTCCCAAGCCAGCACCCAGATTGAGCTGAAAAAAGAAGAGAAATAAGCACAGTTGCTATCTACTTACTTGTGAATTGCAACGCAGCCAGAAAAGAATTTAATTTTAAAATGAGGTTCACTTCCAGTCATAAACATTCCAGAAAAGTGTAATGAAAGAAAAAAATTACTTTTATACATTCATCTAACATTGACAAATTTAGGGGAAACGGAATATTGTCCTCAATCCATTCTTCTACCTCATTTTCAGCTTTTCCCACTCTACTAGACCTAGAATCTCATCCCAACCACAGTATTGGTGATGAGTTAAATACCATAGCAAAGTACAGGCATTACTTATAAAAAGAGTTCAATAGTAGCACATTGTCTTTCTGTTTCTGCCACAAAAAACAGTAAGCAAATGTAATACCGAGAAGGCAAAACATTGCAATATCATTGACTGATAAGAAAATAACTTGCTTCTCCTATCAGAAGTACTAGACATTGAATTTCAGCAATGCTAAAAATGGCAGCAATGAAAGGGATTTTCCCACAAAAGTTTCTTTAGGCGGAACTCATTTATGATAAGAGGCAGTCTAGAACTAGATGTCAGTCAGTAGAAACAATATGTACACAAGTCTGTACACAAAAAAAAAGCCTTACTTCAAAGTCATCCTCTTGGCCTGGATTAAAGCAGGAATTATCTGGGAACCCTAGAGGTACTGGTCCAGAATTTCCTTTGTGACCGTACACTGTAATGAAGACTTGAGCATGGGTTCCAGCAGTTGGTAGCTCATTCGTTGTACAAGAAATTCTCCAGTTTCCCCCTGTAGAAATTACAAAGAAGTTGTGAAACGGTGAAATGGTTTGGGTTTAACGCCCCTATCAACACTATTAGGTTATTTAAGAGATGGGGCCTCCTAGTTTAATGTCCAACTCCGAAAGGACCAAGCCAAGTGGGAAATTCGTGTAAAGTGCCTTTCTCAAGGACACAACGTCGGACCGAGCTGAGGCTCGAACCCCGAACCCGCAATCTCACGATTACGAGTCCTAGGCTACCGACACCACAAAGAAGTTGTGAACTGACATTCAAATACATCTCAAAAGAAACAGTTTTCTTGTCTTAATTTCTCAAAAAGTCTCTCACTCAACAAAAATAGAAGGAGTGGTAGATAGAAGACAGAAGACACAAAATAATTTACCTCAAGGAAGAACACCTTTTGTCACAGCAATTAATTTTCCTTTTCTGTACTTGTACTTTAATTCCAACCAAGTCATAACATTACCGCCTTTTCATGACACCCGTATTCTCAAAACAAATTTTCATGACACCCGTATTCTCAAAACAAATCTTCAAAACAAAAAGTCCAATAAAATCAGCCACTGCTTTCTCTTCAAATGCACATTTGTTTTCAATAAATGAAACACGTCTTACATACACTTTAGAGTAAAAATATATTCTCCTTTCTCAGCTTTAACTGTTAATGCATTACCATAAGTGGTGAAAAAAGATGTCCGATACTCCTTAATTTTTTTTCCCGAAACTTTTACAACATACGTGTTTTCATCATCCTATCCCTTCTTTTCTTCAGTCTTGTAGCCACACCATCCTGGTGGAAGTCTGTCCTGCTTCTCATGCGGGAAGCGTTGCGGTCATACATGCCTATCCTGCTGCGACGAGTCGGGGAATGTTCTGGGGGGAGGGGCTCATAAACAAAGCCTCTCATAGACTTGAAAGGTTCTTTTCCCCCTGCCACCAGTACATCAGGGCCGTTGATCATTGCAGTCAGATTAGTTATCTAGAAGAGAGGAAACAAATGATAATGAGTAAATATATACGGTGCTGATTGAAAATACGTTTCAATATTTTGAAGTTTTCAAATTCAACCCATGTATAAGAAATTAGAAATAGGTCATACTAAATCATAATCGTATCAACATATTTTGATTTGCTGAAAATGTTATTTCTAATTTAACCAATACATCCTGAAGAAAAGAACATGAGTGATAGTGCGACACAGATAAAACTTCACTATACTCTTCCTAAATTCAGAGTAGGTGGAAGAAGTGCTCTAATGGTGGCTTGAGCCAAGAATGAATAAATAGCAACCCCAAAATAACAAGTTTCTGACTTGAAATTTCTAGTCTTTGGAGTTAAAGGGTCTTCATTACAAAGTACTGTGAAGCGAATTATGGGGAATATTTACAAAAATGTAACTTGCTTACTTTTTTCCCCTCAATTGTGTAAAGTTTTCTGATGGCCATGAGGAACATGCCACTGAGATCTGAGAGAATCTGTTCAAACGTCTGAGCTGTGCGTCGATTGATGAGGACCACATGTCTCACTACGGGGTCACCATTCTTGAGGCATGTGATTTTCTTGGGCTGATTTCTGTTGTATGCATAAGCCATCCTGGCGTCCCGAGGTAACGTCTGCCTTCCCACATAGCGAGCTTCATTTTCAAATTCTTGCTCCTGAAAAAAAAAGAACAAATAAAAATTATTCTTGTGAGTAAACTGTTATATGAATGCTGAAGATGCAAAACGGATATACATAATGCAGACCTGCCAAGTACTCTGATAAAATCAGAACCCTCTCAATTTTTTTTGTCTGTCGAAGAACCCTGATTGGATTTGCATAAAATCTCTTTTTTTTTCTTGAACTGCGTTTACACTGGTCATATGCAAAATCAAAAATGATATGAAAATACGTAAGTGTAGTTGTGTTTTTTGGCTGAATTTGCCTGACTTATCATAATTGGTGTGAAAATGCACATTTTAATTTACATGCAGGCCTATATTTTAGTGGCAATGCAAGTTGATAAAATTTGCAATGGTCAGTTTGTAACACAATCTTAATCTACTCCAGTTATAGGGACTCCAATTTTTTTCTGAAACTTATATTTACGGAGGTATCAGAATAAAAAACCTATTTTAATCATTTGTAAATGCTAGTAAAATGAAATTACCAGTATGCCCAGTATGAAAGGGGAAAACCCCAAAATAAACACAGGCTTTGGGAGATTGTTTTACATTCAACACTCAATGTGACAAACTAAACAATGCAATACCATGTGGACATCACAATGATTCCCCAGTAGGATCAATAATAATTAAGTCAGCTTCTACGTATCAAAAAAGTGTATTTCTCCCAACACCGACAAAAGCTATCCTCATTTGGTCCCCTTTAAGCACAAGGGGGCTATCCCGAAAAATGCTATTTTGAGAAAATCGAAGGTAAAGTTTTTGCCCCATGTTCAGTTTCTTTAAAAGAGAAGGAGAGTTTTCTCTATAACTAAACAAATATACACATCAATGAAACCAAACTTCTGCAATGCCCACTTTTGGTGAAGTAAGATTTCTGGAAACCCCTGAAAACTGGATTAGCGCACTTGTCCTTAAAAGCAACCATTTATAATACACCTCCAAGTAACAATAATGCTGAAAGACGTTTGTAAAATTGCTGCTGGAGTCAATCAATGATCATTCAAACCGCAAGATGGAGAATTAATCTCACCTGAAGCAGTGTATTGTACTCTTTGTTTCCACTGGAAGGTTTCGTGAAATGCCATCTGGGAGGAGCCAGAACTCTGTTGGGATCGACTCCTCGGGCCTGATGCCTCATGGTGGAGCATACATAGCTCTCATTGTTTTCCAGGTTGTCAAGCGATGTAATCATGTCACGGCCTCTCGGAGTGAAAATACTTCGGACGCCATATGGCAAACCTCTCACCTTAGTGGACAGATCTAAAGAAGAGACACATTGAAAATTGTTTAATACCATTCAATTATATATAATGTAAACCACAGCGCTCATGCAACAAGAATAGGTAAAAGTCTGAAAAAGTTGAAAGAAAGAAACATAAAGAAGATGAAGTCTGTCTATATAAATTTTAAAATACATGCGCAAGAAAGTAGAGCTGTCATTAAAACAACTGACCTGTGATTAAGGCATCAAGTCGTTTGTATCGTCTCGGGTTGATGCAGACTCTGACTCCAGCAAATTTGTTGTCCCCATCTTTGTAAAAGTAGCAGTTCTTTGTTTTATCTTCATCTCGAGTTGTTTGTCTAAAAGATGGCGGCTGGGTCCTTCTGTGTTTAACTTCCCCTTTAGAAGGTGGATCTGTGTATTTCAGTTTTGAAGCCATGGTGGAAGTTCTGCTCTATTGAACAAATGAATCTGTAGATACACCCTTCGTTGATGCTAACGATTTATGCTAGCCAATTCCAGAACACACAGCAGACATTTGTAGAAACAGAAAAATGTCACGGTGGAATCAGATGCTCATCAATTTTTGGGCATGTAGAGTTATACTCATCTATCTCGAATAGAAGTTGAGATATTTGCAATTGAAGGAGGTCGGGGTCACCTGGTGATAGAGGTAAAATTAGCAAGAGAATGGCCGCCAATGTTTGGTGACTTCCAAAGCTTGGAAACAACAAATTTACATATCTTGTGTCATTGCTAAGGTTTTTAAGAAAATTCATGCAGATTGGGTTTTTAATTGGACATAAAAGAGGTTTAACACAAAATATAAAAAAAATCGATAAAAATTACCGAGCTGGAGGAAAAATGTTGATTTCTTCTATTTCATATATTGACGAACACCTGATTTCACCATGACGCCACACATAATATAAAGTCAAGTGCAGTCAACCCTACCAAATAGTGCTGGGTGATTTTGAGAAAAAAAATCATGGTTGAAGCTTTGAAACACGAGGTCACCATTCATGCTATTCGAATACCGAGTGTGAAAAGTTTTTCTTTTTTTTTTCTTATATAGGTGTATGAGTTGAGTCTGTCGGCAGTTATCGCTATACAATATTCCCTTATCACAGCACTTCTCATCCAGTGATTTGGAGCTAAGTGTTCGGCTGCCTCTTCACTAGCCGCAGTCGTGGTTTGCACAGCACGATGGGGATAAAACATTTTTTAAAAAGAGGTGACAATGACATGAGAGGAGGGGAGAGGGGGGATAATAATAAAAGACAAGCATGGTTTATAACAGGCATTATTTTCGTTTCATTGGTTTTTACCATCCTCCCACTGCACCTACCCACCTAATGGCAAGCCTAACGGATGCATGCCGCGAGTGTGGAGGGTGGCTGATGATTTGGCTTTTTTTTTCAAAATATGACTGTCGGTTGTCTTGAGGAACTCTAATAACATCTCTGTTGTACAGCTGTGCATAACTGAATTTCTAACAAAAACAACCCACAAATTTTTGAAGCAATAGATTCTGCTTTTAACATTGCCTTTTTATGTTACACACTGCTGCTCGCTGGTGTCATACATTTTCTTACACATTTCCTATTCAATGTTCTGTGAGTAAAAAACTTATAAACCTGTAATTTGCCACCTGATTTTCTAGTTTGATGAAACATACTTCATTTTTAAAGCAAGTTAACATCTTATTAACATATAGTATATATATCCAATCTTCAGCAAATATTTTCATAAGAATTTCTCAATAATCAATATAAATATTACCAATGGCAATAACTCCACCCCTACTGAATAATTACTAGATATTTAGATCTAAATTTCTAGATCTAATACTTGTGTACTCAACAGTCAACAGGCTTCGGGCCTAATTAGAACTTAATCAGCTAGACTGGCAGGTTAGCCATACTTAACTCATTCATGGCTGAGTGCTCCAGCAGTGAACTCCCCTCATATACTGGGCAGTTCTATCATGGCAACATGAAATTAGGTATACTCAGGAAAATCAATCAAAATTTGCAGACTCAATGGCTGTTCGAGCAGAAAAAATGTCTCCTGGACTTTTCCCAGCATCACAATTAGATTCTAGATAATTCTAGTTCAAATAACTTGGTATAGATTAGATACAGTAATTCTTTCTATAAAGAAAGCGAGGAAGAATGCCAGAATACTTGTCGTTAGTATGTGGGCGGGGTCCAAATTTTGAGAGTTTTCTCGTCTGTAGCACTGAATGAGTTAAGACTAGATCTAGATATCTAAGTACGGCTAGACTGCTATCTCGGCTAGCCAGTTCGATCAGGAAAAGCATGGGTGAGCTGCTAATTTGCAGGGTGCATGAATATGCGTTGAATACAGAACTGATGTGCAGAAAGCATTCAACAGAGGAAAGTGAGAGAGAAACAGAATAGTGTTAGTCTGTAAGAGTCTAGATCTAGGTTTTGCCTGAATATAACATGCCCAAACAATGGCAGCGATGCTGGCACTGGTGGGCATGATCACGGCTGCTTCTATCGCGATCAGGATTAGATCTAGATCTAGGCCTACAAGAAAATGTTATTAAATGACACATTATTGCAGTACAAAAATTCATCTGCGTTCATCAGATATGAACTTCCTTTGGAGAATTTTGTGTGGAGATTGAGATTTCACTCAAGTTCTCCGCGTTTCCTTTTTCAAGAATTCACACATGAATCATGGAATAGGTTCAACAGTGGGCAACAGTAACAGGCTTGTTTATAAACAGCGGATAAGCTGCTACATGACATATTCTGGGCAAAAGTTACACAAAATATGCTCTTAGAAAATCAGGCTACCCATAAAATGCCAAAGGTACTCATGATGTTGTAGGGAGTTATAGTTAAAGTTATCAAAACTCCTTAGTTACCATCTTTTTAATTTTCAAGAGTTTTAAAATCTATCAGTGAACTCAGGTCGTTTCCAATCACGTGATATAAACTTCCGCTTCTGGGTTGGAGATTCGGTTATCTCCGTAAGAAATATCGGTTTTAGGGTGTTCATTTTTTTGTATTTTCAATTTGGTTTTTATAGAATTGCTACAGTTTGTACATGTAACTGAAAAGAAATAGGAAAGTAATAAATTAACATTTTTTTCTGGGTTTTTTTTGGTAATGCTGCTCCAGGATTTCTAAGATTAGACGTCACGTGACTGTTCGTTTGTAACAACAAAATGGAGGCGGCTTGAAAGAGTCTCAGTGACTGCAGTGTGTATCCGGGAACAGAAGGTAGTGCCTATGCCTATAGATGAGTCTAGATGTAGTCATCACCATAATGGTGTACCTCTAAGATTCTAGTGTTTAGGAGCAAGGATTTTAAGCTCACGGAATTTTATTCTTTGCCGTCATTAGGGGGAGAATCCATCCATGGTAAATCAGCATTTATAATCATAATCATGGGCAAGCCCACAAAGTTTTGACAAAGTCAAAGTTGACAAAAGTCAATTCACTTTGACTTTGTTGGTTGAAATATGGCCTGCTCTATTCGGACTGGAGTCCAATTACATCTAGATATAGATCTAGATCTAGATTTTCTATCTATTTGGACTGAAGTCCGAATATGGGCGGGTCCTAAAAAAATTGGCCGGCACTATTTCTCCGAACGTTCGGGAAAATAAAGCTAGGCACTATTTCTCCGAACGTTCGGGAAAATAAAGCTAGGCACTATG